TGCATTGCCAACGACGCGGCCTGCCTGATGAAAGTCGGAGCGATCAAGGCAACCGCCCCGCGCGAGCTCCAACACTTGAGGAGCAACAACCTCATCGCCATGACCGACGCCAGCATTGCAAGCGTGCGCTTCCAGCACACCAGCGACGACGACGGCGACGTCGCACGAATCCTGGCGGCTGCCCACGCAAGCAGCCACAGCCACGAACAACAGAAGGACGGGCTCATGGAATACGTTACCCACTACGACTGGCACATCGCCCCCCCTGATGGCGGGGGCGATGAGGACATCAACTTCCTGTGAACAAGGCCCCGCGGGGGCGCGCGGCCGCGGCCGCGCTTCGAAGGCCCCTGAGCCCCCCATCCTGCCTCTTGGGCCTCATTAGAACCTTCAGAGGCCCCTCCCTCCCTCCCTCCCTTCTCTCGCGGCTCTGCGGCCGCTTCCTTCGCGCTCTGATGTGGGCCCCAGACCTGGTGGGTTCCCCGGTTCCTGGCCTGGCTCCTGGCATGGGGGGCCCGTCGGACTGCATTGCAGATGCGTCTCGACTCCCGACCACCACCCCTGGCATCAATTGCGTGCTGGTGGTCCTCGACACTATCGGGGTGGTGGTAGGGGGTCCGAAAGACCCGTAGTTGTGGGCGGCCAGGTGGCCCCCGCCGTTCCTGGCGGGGGCCCCTTGGGTCCCTGGCCCGCTCGTCGAGGCCTCCTGGATATTTTTGAGGCCGTCGGAAGTAATTAGGGCCTTGCGTCGCGCCGCGCGTGCGCGCCGCGCGGCGGGGCGCGGGCTTCGGTGGAACAGACCGTTCGTGCGTTTGCACGCCTGAGGAGGAGGAGCCTCCCCCGCCGCTTCGCTCCCGCTCTCGGGCCGGCAGCGGCCCTGGGCCCTCCGGGAAGGTCCTGCCCTGCCCTGCAATGATCGGGGGCCCCCGAACGGGGTGGTAACCACACCGTGCGGTGAGTCCGTGGGGATTCGGGGTCACCGCACGGTTTTGCGATTCGACTCCTTCTCCGAGGACGTCTCGGGCGACTGGGGCCTCCAATGTCCCAAGACCGTGCGGTGACGGACGGCGCGGTGAGGTCTTGCGGGATTTCGAGGCCACCGCACGGTCTGTCACCGCGCCGATCCGTGACTCCAAAAATTAGCATTGGCGAGCTCCCCAGCGGAGCGCGCGGACGACTCCGGCGTTCCGCTTCCGCTGCCGCTGCCGCCCCTGCCCCACTGTGCACTCCCCTGCCCGCCCTTTTTCGAAGACGAGAGAATAAACTTTTGGCGCGCCGCGCTGGTTTCTTGGATCCGCGCTGGGCCCCCCTCCGGCGCGCCAGGGAGGGGACTCGGCGCAAATCCAGGAAATTCGCACGGAGCGCCAAAAAGTTGATGTTTAGCTCGTTTGCTCATTATTCCCCATATCCTAAGTATGGGTTTCTTGTTCTTGGCGGACCGCGCCAGAGGAGAGAGAGAGAGAGAGAGAACACACCACTCCTCTCATTCAGACCCACTCGCCTATCACTCAGACTCACTCTTCACTCAGACCCACTCATCACTCAGACCCACTCATCACTCAGACTCACTCATCACTCGGACTCAGTCATGACGCAGACTCATTTCTCATCACTCAGACTCACTCATCACTCAGACTCACTCATCACTCAGATTCATTCATCACTCAGACTCACTCGTATATGTACTCATACATTCACTACGGTCACTCAGGTCCACGCATCGGATGACTCACACACACTGATGTTGAGGATGTCTCGGGCGATTCTGTGGCTTCAGCACTCCTAAGGGGAGCGGCGGGGGGGTATTGCACTCGGCCCCTTCCGTATGATTTTGTTGGGATGTCTCATGCGGTTTGGTTATTTCTCTTCCAACATGTTTCGCTTTCGGAACAGATTTGGAGGATGTCTCAGGCGATTCGCAGGTTTCAGCAGTCCTGAGGGGAGCGGCGGGGGGTATTGCACTCGGCCCCTTTCGTGGGATTTTGTGGGGATGTCTCAGGCGGTTTGACCATTTTCTCTTCCAGCATGTTTCGCTTTCGGAGCAGATTTGGAGGATGTCTCAGGCGATTCGCTGGTTGCAGCACTCTAAGGGGAGCGGCGGGGGGTTATTGCACTCGGCCCCTTTCGTGGGATTTTGTGGGGATGTCTCAGGCGGTTTGGCCATTTTCTCTTCCAACATGTTTCGCTTTCGGAGCAGATTTGGAGGATGTCTCAGGCGATTCGCTGGTTTCAGCACTCTAAGGGGAGCGGCGGGGGGGTATTTCACTCGGCCCCTTTCGCGGGATTTTGTGGGGATGTCTCAGGCGGTTTGGCCATTTTCTCTTCCAACATGTTTCGCTTTCGGAGCAGATTTGGAGGACGTTCGCGCCCAGTTTGCGGGGATGTCTCAGGCGGTTTGGCCGTTATGATGCTGGGCATCTGTCGTTTTCGGAGCAGTTTTGGGAGGATGTCTCAGGCGATTTGCTGGTTTCAGCACTCCCAAGGAGGAGGAGGAGGAGGAAGAGGAGGAGGAGGAGGAGGAGGGAGGAGGAGGGAGGAGGAGGAGGAGGAGGAGGAGGAAGAGAAGAGAAGGAGGAAGCGAGGAGGAGGAGGAAGAGGACGAGGAGGAGGAGGAGGAGGAGGAGAAGGAGGACAGCATGAACACGGTAGGAGCAGAAGCAGGAAGGGGATGATGAGATGATGATGATGATGATGATGATGATGATGATGAGGAGGAGGAGGAGGAGGAGGAGGAGGAGGACGTGGGCAACTCGAGTAGCCAGGGCCAGACGATCGAGGTTCGATGTTCCAAGGCTTTAGGTTTTACTCAAACGCTTCCGCCTCACTCTCCTTCGCTCTCCGCTCTCCTTCACTCTTCTGCATTCATACTCACTCATACTCAGACTCAGTCACACGCAGGCTCACTCGCACTTAGACTCGCTCATATCCATACTTAAACTTACTCACACTCAGACTCACGCTCAGAACCACTCATACTCAGACTCGCTCCTGCTCAGACTCATCATCCTTTGGTCCGCTCAAACGCAGACCGACTCACACTCAGACTGCCTCGTATCCATACCCAATCACACTCAGCCCGCTCGCACTCAGATTCGTTAGCACGCACTTTTTCTCACAACCGGACCCACTCAAACCCAGACTAACTCATGCTCAGACCCATCAAGCTACGATCCGCTCAATCACAGACTGGCTCACACTCAGATTCGTCCATACTCAGACCCACTCGCACACAGACGCACTCGCGCTCATATTTACTCACACGCATACCCACTCAAACCAGGCTCAATCGCACCCAGATTAAATCACACTCAGAACCAGTCGCTCTCAGATTTGCTATTGCTCGCACTCATGCTTGCAGACTGTGGGAATGTCTCGATCGAGCGGTTCGCCTTCGCACACAGGCGCTCATTGACAAATATCAACAGGAATTCGTACCAAGATAATGATATGCACATATGGGGAGCCCCTGCGTCGAGTAATTTTGTAAATGTATTTCAGTTCTCATCTTATGATTATCCGTAAGGGCTTCGCCCCATGCCGCCGGCCCCCAGTCTCGGATAATGTGAGATGCAAAAGCTAAATCATGAGGTCTGGGCGCCGCCGTGCAACAATGTCGGGACCTGTTTGCTTTTCGACCCTGACCCTACGGATCTGCGTGAGGGGGGCCGCCAGATTTCAGAAATGTATCGAATCCCCCGTGTTTTTGGACCCTGACCCTGCGGATCTGCGGGACGGGTGCCCCCGGATTTCAGAAACGTGGCGAATCCCATTTGTTTTTGGACCCTGACCCCGCCGATCTGCGTGAGGGGTACCGCTGGATTTCAAAAATGTGGCGAATCCGTTTTGTTTTTGGACCCTGACCCTGCCGATCTGCGTGAGGGGCGCCACCTGATTTCAGAAATGTGGCAAATCCCTTGTGCTTTTGGACCCTGACCCCTCCGATCTGCGTGATGGGGTGCCAGCGAATTTCAGAAATGTGGCAAATCTTTTGTGTTGTTGGACCCTGACCCTGCCGATCTGCGTGAGGGGTGCCGCCGGATGTCAGAACTGTGGCAAATCATTTATGTTATTGGGCCCTGACCCCGCCGATCTGCGTAAGGGGTGCCAGCAAATTGCATAATCGTGGCAAATCCCATGTTTTTTGACACTGACCCCGCCGAATCGTATGAGGGGTGCCACCGACATCTCAAAATGTGGCAAGTCCCTTGTGTGTTTTGAACCCTGACCCCGCCGATTTGCGTGAAGGTTGCAAATTTTTACCCACCCCGGCAATTCAGAGTACACGTTCAGCGCGTGGTAGAAATGTCCGTTTTGGGCCTCCCCCCCTTGCGCGGTCCATCAACAAGGAACAGTAAGCAGCAAGAAGGCGAAGTGTAACAGTGGAAATTGGAAGCTGCAGCTGGCACAGCAAACTGCGAACCTTCGCCCTGCAGTTCTTCTTCTTCTGATTTTTCTTCTTTTTTTCTTATTCAACTTCTAATGCCCCAACCAGGTGTACGGATGAGCGCCAGAAGCAATGGGGCCGAGCGTCCCTCGGTGCCTGGCCCCCTTGGGCATCTCTCTCTCCCGTTGGCATCCCTGGAAGCCCTCTGGCGTGTGCAACGTGCCTTGCATTCTCTCACCCTCGACCCCGCGACCAGTTTTGCTTCACCTGCCCATTCTCCTCGCCCCCCTCTTCCTCCGCAGAAGTCATCCAGTCACCAACGGCACCATTCACAGCCAGGGCAATGGTAAGCCCCAGGATGACGTCGAGAATCTCCTGGCATCGGCCAGGAAGGCGTGTACACCCCAGGGTTCAGGATAGCCAGGCACGTTTCTGCTCATCATGCAGGGAGGGATCGTCGCCTCTGAAATACGATCGCAGACGGGATGCGACATCGGAAACACCTCTTCTAGCAAGCTGCCAGAACCTGAACCACAGAAGCATGTCGGCGTCTTGCCCGCGCCGCTTGTGGCCCCAGCGGGCCCAGCTGAGCAGCTGCCGCGCGCGCACGGCGCAGGTGCACGCCCTGCAGCACGCCTCCCCCGCAGTTCTGGCGGACCGCGGCCTGATACTCCAGGCCCGCCGTGCGCCCTGCCGCCCTCCCCCGTCGGAGAAGATCAGACTGCACGAACAGAACTGTTCGGAGCTCCGCGCGGATGTCTTCGATTGGCGCCGGTCCGCCCTGCGGCGCGCGCTCCGCGCGCCAGGGAGGGGGGTGGGGGGGGCAAGCCCGCGCGGAGCTCCGACGTCTTCTGTCTGCCGGTTCCTCGAAGTGCCCAGGGAGAGGGAGAGATTCGAGATTCGAAGCCTGGGCTTGTCAGGGGCAAGGTTGGCAGCAGATGTGCTCAGTGGGGGACGCATCGATCCCCGATAGCCCATTCATCGCCGATAGGGGGCCCGACAGCCCGTCCAGCAGCGTGAGGATTCGCCGTCAGGGCCTGTCGCCGATTTATCGTCTGTGTATCGCTGAATCGGATATTCCCCCCCCCCCCTGAGCTGGGCCCCCCCCCCTGTCGTTCCCCCTCAGGTTGAAAGATCGAGGTCGGAGGAGCGAGGCTTCTGAGCGTCCTGGTCTTTCCCAGCCGGGGCTTCCAGAGGCCTCTGGTGGCCACCGGGCCACGCATGCCCACCAGGGGGGGAGGGATAGAGGAGGAGGTGGAGGTGGCGGAGGATGGGAACCAGCTTTGGGGAAGAGTGAGAGGGTGGATGGAGAGGAGTGGGGGAGGAGGATGAGGGGGATAGGGGAAGATGCTGCAAAGCGGAGAAGGACGAGTGGGTGAATGGTGGAAGAGGAGGAGGAGGAGGAGGAGGAGGAGGAGGAGGAGGAGGAGGAGGAGGAGGAGGAGGAGGAGGAGGAGGAGGAGGGGAGGAGGAGGAGGAGGAGGAGGAGGAGGAGGAGGAGGAGGAGGAGGAGGAGGAGGAGGAGGAGGAGAGGGGGGAGGATGAGGACCAGGGAGGAGGGCAGAAGGTGGAAGGTGGAGTTGGACGCCCTACGCCCAGTGGCCGTGGCGACGGCGTCTTCGTCGTTTTTCGTCATCGTCGTCGTCGTTCGTCGCCGTCATCGTTGTAGTGGTCGTTCGTTGTCGCCGCCGTCGCTGCCGTCGTCATGGCCACCTTTGTCTTCGTTGTCGTCCGTCGCCGCCGTCGTGTGTGACCGTCGTTCGCTTGATCTTCTGGTCGCAGCGGCTGCGGCGTTGTTGTGTTTTTTTTGTCCCCGCATTGTGTGGCCAGTCTGGGCGGTTCGCATTCGGCGGCCTCGGCGGTGCCCTTTCACACATGGAAGTACGCAAGACACGTGGTCGGTTTTCTCAACAAGCCGCGCCATTCGTCACAGCGTTGATTTTGGATTGATTGCTTGACGGGCAAATTACATTCTTCCTCCTCCGCTTGTTCAACCATTTGGTCCCTAACCCTTCTCTCGCCCTCCCTCCCTCCGTCCTCTTGATTCCTAGCCGTCCTCTTGATTCTCCATCCATTTCCTCCTCCTCGGCTCGCTCGTCCCGTCTCAGATTAGACCCCTCCCGCCGCCGCCGACGCGAGGGGAGGGAAGAGAATGGCAGTACAATGTACTCGACGTTGGCCCCAGACTCGGGACCTCTCGCCCCCCCCCCTTCCCGCGGGATCCGTTCTCGTCGCGGGTCGTCTTGTTGAGAGCCCTTTGGCCCCAAAGCGGCCCTTGCGCGCCGAAATTCCGAACAAGATCATTGCGTCTGAGGTTTCTCCAGTGGTGAGGGGAGAACGGACAGGCAGGCAGGGCAAGCGTGAGGGGGAGGGGATGTGTTGTTGAGAGGGCAACCAGAAGGACGTGGGACCAGTGGGAGGAGGTGATGCGGACACGGTTTGGGACTAGTCGGGCTCTCTTCTCATGTTTCATCAGAGAGGTCATCAGCCTGCTCATTCGCAGAGAGGGAGAGAGATAGAGAGAGGCAGAGATAGAGAGCGAGTCCGATACATCCGATGGGTTGATCCTGCGAACCTGCGGCCCCAGGGATCTCGCCCCTTTGCTTTGGGCTGTTCTTGTGCCCCGAGTCCCAGATCGATGTTCGATGGTCCAAGAGCCCGACACAGGCTTCCAGGCGTCGGAACGGAAGAGAAACGACAGGACTGAAGCGTTCAATACATGGGAAGTCTTTAAAGTTGTGAAGGCGGTGTGTTGGAGATGGATAGAGAGAGAGAGAGAAAGAGAGAGCGAAGCAGCATCCCTGTTGTCTCTCAAAACGGCCAGTGTGTCATTGTTGTTCTATTTTCAGCCTTCCCTTTTTGTTTGCATGAAGCAATCGGTGCGAAACTCGGCAACGCTAATGGAACCTGGAGACGAACGGCAGTTGACAACGGCAGCTCCAGGAGGGGCAGGTTGGTCAATGTCCAGTTCATTTGAACACCGATTGCGAACGCATTGACCACGGACAGAAAACGGTTCGGGCGGGCGAGGGGGCAAGCAGAGACCTGAAACCATGGAGTAAACATTGAGCGGGAAGCGACAGCGACAATTTACATGACAGGGCTTATGGATTGTAAGACCACGCAGCCCACGCAAATAAGTTGAAACCCGCAATTATTCTAAAACGTGAAATTTCAAAACGCAGATCAAGCACGCCCTCTACGTGTTGACCCACGTCTTCGATGGATGGGGAGTACTAGGGCGAGAGAGAGAGGGAGGGAGAGTGAGGGAGCGATCGAGAGAGAGGGAGGGAGAGAGAGAGAGAGAGAGAGAGAAGGAGAGATAGAGAGAGGGAGCAGAAGAGGGGCAGAGAGAGAGAGAGCGAGAGAGGGAGATAAGTGATACATGGAGAGGGAGAGAGGGAGAGAGAGATGGAGAGAGACAACAAACATGAGAGAGAGAGGCAGGGATAGAGAGGGAGAGGGAGAGGAATGAGAGAGAGAGAGAGATTGCGCGAGGAGGGAGGAACACAAGCAGGAATGGCGGCAAGTATGGCTGCCGCCTACGACAGCAACGAACAGAGGACGACGCCCCGCGCGCCAGGTGCTGGTCCGCAGCCGGCGGGCGCTGACCTACGCGGCCAGAGCGCTGCAGGACCCCCTCCCCCCCTCGCGCCCCCCTGGAACACCTCCGCCCCTCGCGCGCGCACAGCGCAGGAGCGCGCAACCCCGGGTGGGGGATGAGCACCTCGCTGTCTCCGTGGGTTCACCCCCTTCGGTCGTCACCTCTAGACACCTCCACGAGCAGCGGCAGAGAAATGTTGACGCTGAGGGGCAGGATGGAGAGAGCAACGCACAGGGCCAGGGGGGAAGTGCTGCAACGCAAGTCCTTTCTTCGTCGGCGGCGAGGCAGAGTTGGCTGCACTGGCGAGGAGCTATACGGTGCAACGCACAAGAAGTGCGGAGATAAGTTCACGCAGCAATCGTCGACCCGCCCACGAAGACACATTCCGCACACACGATCGTGGAGCCAGCGGCGTCATCACCGCCGCCGCGATGTGCCAGGAAGCCACTTAGAATCAAACAGCCGACCAGGGAGCCACTTGCAGGGCTTGATACAATGATGGACGTCCTATACCAAAGAAGGCATGACACGTATGAGCAAGACAACTGTTTCGATGCAAGTCTTCAGTACGCCGAGTTCAAAATATGTTTAGAATCCGAGAAATCGCTCCCGGGCTCGTCGAATATGGATTGGCCACCGTGCAAGCCTTGGAATACAGGCAGGCCCTCCAGTCTCGCAGCTTAGGGCTGCTGGGTTCAACAGAATGCCTCGCCGCATGTTTACATCGGGTGGCCCGGCATCCCCCAGAATGAGGCCGTACACTGGTGACAGGAGGACTTGCCACAGCAGAGTAAGGCGCAGCCCCATTTCAGCAGATCGCCACACTTGTGGTGAGGGGCGGATCATCACCCTGAGGGTGAGGGGTGGGAAGCTCCATGTGCGAATCATAAGAATGATAAAAAGAATAGGAGAAGGAGGAGGAGGAGGAGGAGGAGGCTCCAGAGAACCCCCGTCGAGGCGCTCTGAAGCCTGGCTGGGGGCTGGTGGTGCTGTCGTTGCGGCAGGCCATGCCTCTGCCGAGGGTCTTGGCGCGCGCTAGGTCTTCATCGGTGCAGATGGCCCACGGGGACTGGAAAGGACTGTATTACACCGGAGAAACAACCCAAATCAGTGGATGGTTTTCGCTGAGGAGATCGACCGGGAACCCTGGAGCGAACCCACCAGAATCGGCCCGGAATCAATAACCGGGAACCCGGGAACCCGCAACCGGGAGCCTGGGAACCCAGCCTGCTACCAAAATCGGCGGGATTTTTTCGCCAAATCTTTCAACTTCCGCTAGGACCCCTTCAGTGCAAGCAGGGGGAAGGAGAAACATGACGGGACGAAGCACGCATGGCAGAGCAAATTGCGGCGAAGGGGAGGAAGGGGGATAGGGGACGAGATCAGCTAGGTTGAGCTAGCCTGGGCAGCAGCGATAGAGGGGTGGCCTTCAGTGGAGGGGCGACCGCTGATCATTTAATGTGCCCGTCGGGACACGAGTGGCGGTGCTGTGAAGCAGGCTAGACAGCTAGCTGGTCCAAGGGGTGATCGGCTCCGCTGAGGCACTCCGCTCGGAGCCCTTGCTGGGAGCTGGTATTCCCTTCATTCGGACGGCCATGCCTTTGATGGGGGTCACGGTGCGCTTGGAGTGCATCGGCGCAGGGGTGTGCAGGTGGGTCCTTGCGCAGGGGAGGGGAAATGGGAATGGGGAGAGAAGGGAGGAATAACAAACGGGATGTGATATGCTAGGCAGAGTCAGCCGGGGTGGAAGGGGGGAGGAAGAGGAAGGAGGTGGACGTGGAACGATGAGGGACGACGTGGGAGGAGCAGAGGGATGTAGCAGGAGGAAGAGGGTGGATGTGGCAGGAAGGAGGATCTGACGAGGACTGAGGAAGAGAGGAGATGAGGAGGGCTGAGGCGGAGGAGGAGGAGGAGGGCTAAGAAAGAGGATGGGGAGGGGGAGGAAAGAGGCAATGGAGGAGCAGGAGGGGGTAATAGGAACCATGTGGGAGGAGGATGGAGGATCAGGAGGAGAAGGTGGAACACGAGACGCATTGCAAATAGTAGGGCGCTATAATGGGGCACTGCAATGAGGACACGGGGAAGGCCGAGTAGGGGTAATCAGGAGGACGGGGGCGGTAAAGCAATATCCTATGGTTATTGGAGGAGGAGGAGGAGGAATCTGATCAGTGCGCTTGTGTTCGGCCCCGGTGAGTTCGCTCAGGGGTCGAGAGAGTCCACTGCCCGACGTTGACCCGGTCGAGTTGTGGGGCCGAGCCTCTGACACGACATCGCCTGGGGTCCTCCCGAGCTTCGAGTGCCTGCCAGCTGCAGCCATCCCGTCTTGCTCCTGGGCCCTCAGAGCCTGCGCGGGTCACGGCCGTCGAGGCCCGGGCGCGCGCTCGCTCCTCGAGCCCGTGCCGCGCCGTGCCCCCGTGCGTGCGGCGCCCCTGCCTGCCTCGGCCTCGGGCCGCTCCTGTCGGACGTCAGACACGCGGCTCGAGCACAGGCACCAGCGCCTCGCCCCCTCGCGTGCCGCACGCCGTTCCGCAGCGCCTCCGCAGCGCTCCCCACTACCGCTCGCAGCTCGCACTCCCAGCTTGCAAGTTTCCTTGCTCCCCTCCCCCCGTCACCTCCCATGAAGAAGGCAGGCAGATTGGGCTGGAGGAGGGGACGGGGGGATGAAGGTGGTGGTGGTGCATGTCCTTGGGGCCCGCACCAGGGGGCCGTCGAGAAGTGGCCCCCGGCCCGGATGGAGCAGCGGTCCCGAGGTGGGGGGTCGAGGCCTCCAGGACTCTGAGTTGCAACGCCGCGCGAAGCCGCCGCGACGCCGCGCGACGCCGCCGCGACGCCAGAGGTCTGTGGGGGGTGGGGCGGGCTCGACTCCGCGTGTGAGAGCGGCCTCTCGACCTTGGTCGCGGGACCGCACTGGGCCCCGATGGTGAATCCGTATCCTCCTGGGCAGGCTGGGGCCAGCGGCCCCCGATTGGCACCGAGTGGGCGATTTGGGGTTCGATGCGTCCCCCCCCCCTGTGCCCATCCCAGGCCAGCCACAACTGGGGGAGCTGTGGTGCTTACCCCCCCGGGACCCATCGATTTCCACACCCCTCTCGAGTGATCGTCGATGCGATGGGCTCCCCCAGGGGGGCAAGGACCACAGCTCCCCCAGTTGTGGCTGGTCGGAATCCCCCTCGTTGTCGCGATCGCTGCCCCTGTCCCCAAATATGCCGTTCCCCTCTCTATCGTTGCCCCTCACCGCTGTTCCGCGCGCGTGGGTATGCCCCCGCCCCCCGCGGCCCAGAGCCGCGCGCCAGAGGCCACCCAAGGAGGTACTGGTTCTTGCAGTGCTCGACGAGCGAGGAGGAGGAGGAGGAGGAGGCGGAGGAGGAGGTGGAGGAGGAGGAGGAGGAGAAGGAGGAGGAGGAGGAGGAGGAGGAGGAGGAGTAAGAGAAGGAGGAGCATGTCTGCGTCGTTTCTGACGTTTTGCATGACGTTTCCCGACCCCGAAGCTGACGGCGAACAGCGAACAGGAGGGGGGCGGATGAGCGACGCCCAGGCGGAGAGAGGCAGGGTGGATCTACAGTGCTGGTGCCAGCGGTTGCGACAGTGACGGGCAGTGGACGGCGGTTCAGTGACAGCATGGGCAAGGGCGCGTGCGCCGCCGGCATCCTGGTGCGCGCATGGGCGGGCGCGGGCGCGAAAGGAAAGGAAACGGCACGAAACGAACCGAGAAGAGAGGTCTGTTGGGGACTGAGCGGGCCGAGTATCTTGACGAAGGCCAGGGGCGGCACCTGCGACCCTCCGGGACCCCCCCCCCTCGGGGGGGAGAGGATCAGAGGGAAGGCGCTCCCCTTCGACTCGATGAACACGTTGTTCTATTTCCCTCTGGCTGGAACGCGTGCGGGAGAGCGGCGACGACGACGAGTCAAACGGAAAGACCATTCACACGCTCCGACAGGGTCGGCGGGTTTTGATTTGCCAAGTCTCTTTCAGAAAGACGCACCGGCCATGCCGCCCCTGTCGTCGCCCGACCGAAGGAGGACCGCGGCTTCGTCGAGGAGGCGGTGCGGCACAACGGCGGCGCCCTCGTGTACGCTCCAGAGGCGCCTCGGCCCTGGGAGCCGTCGGCACGCCGGTGTTCCTCTCGGGGGCCCCCACAGGGTGGGGTGAGCACCGTATGGTGAGCGAGTGGGGAGTTGCAGTGACCGCAGGGTCTTGGGACTCGGGTCGTATTCCGAGGACGTCTCGGACGACAGGGGGCTCCTCCACGGTACCAAGACCGTGCGGGGACGGACCGTGAGGTGAGGTCTATGGGGATTTCGAAATTACCGCAAGCTCCGTCCGTCGGGGAAGGGAGGAGGGAGGAGCAAACGGAGGCAGGACTGGGATAAAAGGGGAGAGGAAAGCATAATGGGAGGAGCGGGAGCAGGAGGAGGGGGAATAAGTAGTTCCTTCCCCTGCCGCCCCCCGTCCACTCCTGCGGAGGATCAGGGGCATGGGGGGCGGGCGAGTGGGGAAGGGAAATTGTTGGAGAGTTTGGGCCTCGGTGCAGTCATCGGTGAGGGCGTCTCAGGTCTCAGGCGTGGCGTCCCGACCGCCCTAACGATACGTCTGGTGGTGCGGCACGGAGGAGGTGCTCAAAAGGAGAAGGGAGAGAGGAGGGCGGTGGGGAGGAGGAGAGGAGGGCCAGTGCAAACTCAAGACCCATCAACGATGTGGCAATCATCCCTCCCGCCAGGTTTCCTACACATAGGTCCCTACAAGGGTTCATGTTCACTGAGGGAAGTGCCCCGTTGGAAGACAGCCGCCCGAAAATCCTGAAACGTGCCAGAACACCATTCCTGCAACCTCAACACCGCGAGTGACAACTTCACCCCCGCGCAACGGTTGCGTCTTGACAATCTCAAATACTGCCAGAACGCTGTTTGTGGGACTCCGACACTGCGAATGAGCGTGACTGCAGCGTGCTGGCAATTCTACATTGTGCCAGAGTGCCTTGCCTTCGACCTCGACAGTGCGAGCCCAAAAGAACACAACGGGTGTTCCAAGCGGCTCCCAAGAGCGCCCCGGGAGGCCCCCCAGGCGGCCCAAGACAGCCCAAGGTGGCACGAAGGCGGTCTGAGAGATCCCCCGCAGAAAGCGAAGACAAACCCAGGCAGCCCAAGAAGAGCCCAGTAGCCCCTAACTGGACCCCGATTGGTTCCCAAGAGGCCACCGGATCATAAATGGCCGAGCGGTCTCGAGCGAACCGCCCAGGGCGATAGGATGTTGGCCTTTGCGAGGCGCTTGGTGATCAGCGCTGGTTTCGTGCCTGGCATTCTCGTGCCTCGTAATCAGGTTCACACGTGCTGCTTGGTGCTGGTTGTCTGGGTCAAGATGATGATGATGATGATGATGATGATGATGCTGATGATGATGATGATGATGATGCTGATGATGCTGATGATGCTGATGATGCTGATGATGCTGATGATGCTGATGATGCTGATGATGCTGATGATGCTGATGCTGATGCTGCTGATGATGATGATGATGCTGCTGCTGATGATGATGATGCTGGTGCTGATGCTGATGCTGATGCCGATGATGCGGATGATGATGACGACGAGGATGCTGCTGATGATGAGGATGATGGTGGTCGTGCTGATGATGCTGTTGATGATGCTGTTGATGCTGCTGCTGCTGCTGATGATGATGATGATGACAATGATGGCGACGACGGCGACGACGATGATGATGCTGATGGTGATAATAATATGACGATGACGATGACGATGACGATGACGATGACGATGACGATGACGATGATGATGATGATGATGATGATGATGATGATGATGATGATGATGATGATGATGATGATGATGATGATGATGATGAGGATGAGGATGATGATGATGATGAAATTGATAATGTCGACTACCATGACTTCGACAACGGCTATGATTACCATGATGGTGACCATGACGAGAATGAGGGGGCGCAGGCGGGGGAATCGGGGAGGAGGTGGCGAAGGAGCACGAGGAGGATAGGGGGCGAGGAACGGGCGAGGGCGACGACGACGTGGAGGAGGGGGAGGTTTAGGCCCCTGACGGCTGCGATCGGGCGCAGGGTTGAAGAGGCGAAGGCGCCTGTGGCCCTCGCCCGTGCTCGCCCCCCCCCCCCCCCCCAGAGGAGCTGCGCGCGCGGACCCCAGCGTCGTGCTGGCCGCCTGTCGCAGGACCGCCCCCCCCCTCGGGCCCGACCCCCTCCTCCCCTCCTCCCCTCGTCCTCCTCCTCCCCCTCTCCTCTCCTCCCCCCCTCCCCTCCTCCCCCTCCTCCCCCTCCTCCTCCCCCGAGGCCCCGAGGCTCCGTGCCATTAATTTAGTCCCCGTCCCCGTCGCAGTTAGTTTTGTCACACTCGCTCTATTCTGGGAGGTGGCGTCTGGCAGCCAAGGTATTTCGTGGAGGTTCTCTTCCTGTCGACTCGCTGTTCAACATGGTCAGGGTGCGCGTCAGTGTAACATGTGACATCGTCACGGCGGCCCTTCCTTCCTTCCGTCCCCGTCCCCGTCGCGCCATGGCAGTTTTGAGTCGGGCATGTCCTCCTACCGATGTATTTTGGAAGAAAGCAAAACAGTCCACACATATTTTTATACATTGTCCGAAATTTTGGCGAAATCGTCCCCGGACCTATTCCTCCTGCAGCGGGGCGTGCTTGACCTGATGGTAGGTGAACCCCGCCATCACTCCTGTCAAGCTAGAACGGGGGCCCCTCGGCGCCCCGACGGACACAGCCCACATCCCTATCTAGATCGTTGTTCCAGGCGGAGCCAGGCTTAATCCCGTGCCCGCTGTGACTGACTGACTAATTGATTGACTAACTGACTGAACGTTAGGAGAGCACGTCTGACAACATAATTCAAACCGCCCGCGGGAGCGCGCAAGCGCAACCAGGCGAGCACATTTCAATTCAGCCGCGCAATCTCAAACCGGCCGCGCAACCGCAACCGCAACCAGGAAAGAGATTTAACTCGTCCGCGCAACCGTAACCGCAACAGTAACCAGGCGACACATTTTAACCCGCCCGCGCAACCGCAACTGCGACCACAACCAGGCGACACACTTCGACCCGCCCGCTCAACCGCAACTGAAACCTGGCGACGCATTTCAACCCGTCTGCGTAACCGCAACCGCACTCGAAACCAGGCGTCACATTCCAAGCCGCTTGCGCAGCCGCAACCGTAACCGCAAACGGCAACACATTTCAACCCGCCCGCGCACGCAACCGCAAACCGGCAACACATTTCACCGCAAAACGACACATTTCACCGCAACCAGGCCGCGCAATTTCATTCCGCCCCCGCAACCGCAGCCGCAACCAGGCGACACATTTCAACCCGTCCGCGCAATCGAAACCGCAACCGCAACCCGGCGACACATTTCAACCCGCCCGCGCACGCAACCGCAACCGCAACCAGGCGACAGATTTCAATCCGCACGCGCAACCGCGACCGCAACCGCAACCAGGCGACATATTTCAAACCGCCCGAGCGCGCAACCGCAACCGCAACCAGGCACCACCTTTCAAGCCGGCAGCACAACCGCAACCGCAACCGAAACCCCAACCAAGCGGCACATTTCAATTCAGCCGCGCAATCTCAAACCGGCCGCGCAACCGCAACCGCAACCAGGAAAGAGATTCAACTCGTCCGCGCAACCGCAACCGCAACCGAAACCAGGCGACACATTTCAACCCGCCCGCACAATCGCAACCGCAACCGAAACCAGGCGACACATTTCAACCCGCCCGCACAACCGCAACCGCAACCGCAACCAGGCGACACATTTCACTCCCCCCGCGCAACCGCAACCGCAACCGTAACCAGGCGACATATTTCAACCCGTCCGAGCAACCGCAACCGAAACCGCAACCAGGCGACATATGTCAACCCACTCACACAACCGCAACTGCAACCGCAACCAGGCGACACACTTCGACCCGCCCGCGCAACCGCAACCGCAACCAAGCGACAGATGTCAACTTGGCCGCGGAGTTTCAACCCGCCCCCCGCAACCGCAACCGCAGCAAGGCGTCGCATTTCAACCCGCCCGCGCAACCGAAACCGCAACCGCAACTAGGGGGCACATTTCAACTCGCCCGCGCAACTACAACCGCAACATGGCGACACATTTCAACCCGCCCGCGCAACCGCAACCGCAACTGGAACCAGGCGACACATGTCAACCCGCCCGCGCAACCGCAACCGCAAAAAGCAACCTGGCGACGCATGTCAACCCGCACGCGCAGCCGCAACCGCAACCGCAACCAAGCGACACATGTCATTCCCTCAACCAGCGGCTGACCTTGAAAGCCTCCTGGAATGATGCTCGGGAGTCCGATATCCACGTTGTGGCTTGCGCTACATAGGATAGGCTGGAGTATGTTATCAAGTACGACCTCATGTGAGGATGACAGGTACGTGAGGTGTGAAGATGAGTCAAGGATGGAGTGCAGAGGTGGCAGGCTAGGAAGATACTTGCTCGACGCCAGGATGCTTGTCTAGGCGGAGAGCGTATTTGGATGCGAGCGCTCAGAAGATGTCTCTGCGGAGCCAGGGCTGTTGTTCGAGCCAGATTTGCCGGTGCCAGGAGGACTCTATGGGCTGGGGGTATGCGTGCGAGAGCTAGGATGGCTGCTGCAGGCTTTCGCATTCCGCCCGAATGTCCATGGTGTAGGCATGGTACCCCTGACACATTGGGTCGCCAAGTGTTTGACAGCCCTGGGCTCTATGAAAATACTCTGGAAGAGGACTTCGAGTGGGGCCCCAAACTGAGCCGCACGCATGGGCATCTCAAGGACAAGGGCATCGCGTGGCCTGGCCTGGGGCCGACGATTGGGGACAGTTTGACATCTGCAGTGGCTTGCCGCTGTCCGCTGGCCTGAGTCGTGCCGGTGTGGCTGGGGATCTGTCAGATTGGACACGACGGCATGCCTGTGTGCGGGGCCCGGGGGCTCTCCGGGGCCCCCTGCAGAGTGTTGGTCGTGCGGAGCGTAGTGCTCCTACTGCAGGCACTCAGACTCCTTGCCGAAGGTGACGCTCGTGGCCACCGATTTGCCCTCTTCTATGTCACGAAGGCCTGCCTGGAGCCAAGACCAGGGAGAGGTACAGGCTACATATGCCGATATCTGGAGGGAGGCGTCCGCGACCGTTGGCGACGCACGTCCTCCACAATTTTGCTGGACTTCAGCGCGCAGCATTTCTCCGTCGAATCAACCTGCTCGTTTGAGTTCTACCTCGGTTTGAGTTCTACCTCGGCAATGGTTGGGCTGACTGTGTCGCGAGAAGGGGTGCTCCTGTGCATGCATGCCTGTCCAGGGACGGTTGTTAATACTTATGAGTACCACATGTCGGAGGCCAGGTTGCAGGCCGGGTTCCACGGGTGGGCGGCGGCGAAGATTGCATATCGTGACAGTGCGTCGGACCGCCCTGTTAGTACATGCAGGCCCCCCACCTTCTTGGCCCTTGAGCTGTTCTTCGCTCAGCACGAAAATAGTGCGGAGGGTTCAGGTGGAGTGCCAGCTCTGTTTGTGTTTGGCCAGGGTCCCTGACAGCCTGACCAAGCTGCTTGTTTGCTCTTGAAGTCCCACCCCTCAGCAAACGGCTAACGGCTGCCAGGGACAAGGACCTACAAGAGGCTCTTAGAATGCAGATTGACGCAGTGCGCGCGGCCTTACAGCGGGCTGATGTGGTAGAGTCTTGTGCTGCTGGCTTGGCGGAGGTTTCTGCTCATAGCGAATCGTCAGGCCCGCCGTCTAAGGCTCTTGTCGAGCTCCGTGGGCACCAGGTGCTGGTGACCCAAGGTGGTGCCATGTGTTGCACCCGGTGCGGCTTCTGATCAGGCGTCTGCCCTGGCTCCCGCATATAACCTCGATTTGGACTGCAAGGGTCCTGCCCAGGACAAGCCAGCCAGGTAAAGGCAGCGGTAAAATATCGTTGCGATCCGAGCGTGCAAACACCCCAAGAAAAGGCAATCACCTCGTTTTATTGCGAAGGCTTTACGGCAGGTGCCGCCGACCCTGCATGGCGGCGATAACCACGACCACAACGACGAAACTCTCGGGGGCCTCCTGGGGTTAGTTTTTGGGCCTCTTGGGAAGCTCTTGGGGGCCGCTTGGGAGCCTCGTTGGGGCCTCTTGGGGCTTCCGGGGGGGTCTACTGGGGGCCTCTTGGGGGGTTTTGGGAAGCTTCTTAGGGGTCTCTGAGGGTCTCCTGAGAACTTCTCGGGCCGAGAACTCGAAATGTCCGTTTGGGTCCCCCGTCTGGGCTCCCTCTTACAACCGTCTCGGGAGCCTCTTCGATTGTTTTGGAGGCCTCTTGGACGGTCTTGGGGCCTCCTTGGGTCGTTCTGGGGCTATCTTGTACCCCTTTTGAGCCATCTTGGGGCAGTCCTGGGGGCCTTTGGGCCTGTCTTGGAGCGTCGGGAAGCTGACCAGGCGAGAATGCCGAAATCTTGTTTTAAAATTATGGGAAATCGATGGTTTTTGTTCCTTGGTGCCTTCTTTGAAGACTTCTTGGAGGCCTCTTGGAAACCTTCTGAGCCGTCTGGAAGCTATTTTGACGACTTGGACCGATACTTCGGCGATTCGGGGCCCTCGAGGACCGTCTTAGGGACATCTTGGGGCATTTTTGCCGCGTCGTTGGGCTTTTCTAGGCCCCCGAACCGCCCCAGGGAGAGTCGTGTCTTGACCTGGGACTTCCCCGGGATTTCCCTGGGACTTCCCCGGGACCCCCCCCCTGACGGGGAAGAAATCAAAGAGAAGGGGCTTCCCTTCGACTCCACTGCAACGTTGCTCAATCGCGCTGTAGCTGGCGCGCTCGACGACGGCAACGACCACGACTACGACGACGACGAGTCAAACGGAACAGCCTCTTCCACACGCCGACAGGGTCGGCGGGTCGGCGGGTTTTGTGGGCCTCGTGCCCAAACTTGGCCCGTCCTCCTGTTCTTCAGCCGCACGGCTGGTTGTCGGCGTTGCCCCATTTCCCCTCCCTCCTCTCCCTCCTCCTCTCCCGTCCTTCCTCCCGCGTCCCCCTTCTCCTCCCCCCCTTACTCTGCCCCCCATCGTTTTCCTGATTAGTGCTCTGCGCCCTCCCCCCCATCCTCCCTCTCCCCAGTCATCCCCCCATCCTCCGTCCACTCTGTTTTCCTCGCCGGGGGGCCAAGGTGACGGGCTGAAGAGAGGGGAGAGCGCAGCGTTGCGCATCCCCCCCCCCGACCCTGCGGCAGGACACGGGTGCCCTGACGTACGCGGCGGAGGAGGCACGGCGCGCGGGAGCCTTGCGACGCGCCAGCAAGCCGTGACCGTCCCTTTTCTGGGCGTGCGCCCGAATTCTCTCTTCAACGAGTAAGGAGGTGCTCAGTGCGAGGGGAGAGCTAGGAGGAGGAGGAGGAGGAGGAGGAGAACGAAGAGGAGGAGGAGGAGGAGGAGGAGGTGGAGGAGGCAGAGGGGAGATGTGGGATGTAGGAGTGATGGAGGAGGAAGGATGGAGGAGTGGAGGGAGGCGGGGTAAGGGGGGAAAAGGAAGAGGAGAGAGGGATGAGGAGAGACAAGGACGGATTATGATCATGATGATGCTGATGATGGTGTTGGTGATGGTGATGAGGATGATGATCATGATGATGGTGATCATGCTGCGATGGTGATGATGCTGATGATGATGCTGATACTGATGATGCGGATGATGGTGATGGTGATGGTGATGTTGATGATGATGATGCTGATGCGGATGCTGATGCTGATGCTGATGCTGGTGCTGATGATGCTGCTGGTGCTGGTGCTGGTGCTGGTGCTGATGACGATGATGATGACGACGATGATGCTGGTGATGATGATGGTGTTGATGATGATTATGATGATGCTGCTGATGATGATGCTGACGGTGAGGAGGATGAGGAGGATGAGGAGGAGGAGGAGGAGGAGGAAGGGGATGATGATGTTGATGAGGATGAGGAGGAGGAGGAGGAGGAGGAGGAGGAGGACGTTGGAGAGAGGGAGGGAGGCAGGGGTGTGGGAGGAGGCGAGGGACAGGGAGGGAGGGGGGAGGGCAGCGGGGATCTTTGGCACGGACGTTGCTTGGTATCTTCGCGAGGGAGGACGGAGGAGGTAGGAAGGGATGGAGGGAGAAATGCGGCAGGAAGGAGTATAGATATCGAGTACAAGAGAGAGGAGGCGGACGATGATAGCTCGGAAAAGGAGGTGGCACAGCTCGGCAGAAGAGGGAGGATGGGGCTGTGGGGGAGGACCTTCATCCCCATCCGGATCCCCCCCGTCCCGTCCCCTTTCCCCTCCCGCATCCCTCCCCCCCTCCCTCCTCCCCGCCCGCCCTCCCTCCCTCCTCCCCCCCGACCCTCTTCCTCGCGTCCCGCCCGCGCGCCGACCCGCCCGCCCACCCCCTGGGCAGCTGCGGAGCTGCCGCGACTTCATGCTCGCGGCCGTGGCGGCGCGTGGTGCGGCCCTGGAGCGCCCCCCCGCGCACGGGGAGGGGGGGGGGGGCGCCGCCTCGAGCGCTGAAGCGCCGCATGGCGGCGGTGGCGAGGACCGCGGCGGCGAAGGGCGGCGATGCTGGCGGCGGCAGCGGCGAAGACGACGAGGTAGAAGTGGGCGATGTGGAGGAGGAGGAGGAGGAGGAGGAGCAGGAGGAGCAGGAGGAGCAGGAGGGGAAGGTGTGGTGGAGGTGGTGCTAAAGGGGAGGGACCACAAGAGAGGAGGAGCAGGGGGAGGAGGAAGGGGAGGAGAAGGAGGAGGAGGAGGAGGAGGAAGGAGGCAGGAGGCAGGAGGAGGAAGCGGAGGAGGAGGAGGAGGAGGAGGAGGAGGAGGAGGAGGAGGAGCAGGAGGAGGAGGAGGAGGTGGTGAAGAAGGGGAGGGACGAAGGAGGAGCAGGAGCGACTGGGCGGGAGGAGCAAGAAAGGGAGTTCAGAAAGGGCGGGGAGGGGTGGACGGATGTGGAGGAGGAAGGGAGGAGAATGGGAGGTGTGGGATGGGGGAATGCAGCCTGGAAGCAGTCAGGAGCGGGAGCAGCGTAGGACTGGGCTGACGGAAGACACTAGGAGTTGTTGGGGCGCACGTAGGTTGGGGTTGGGTTTCGTTACGGGGAGCCGTTGCCTTTCGATCGCAGGAGGTGGAGGAGGCCCTCGTGTTGGAGGCTTGCATCTTGCAGGCTTGCGGCAGGAGCAGCAGGAGCGGGAGCGGCCGGGACAGCACACGGCAGCCTGCTGCTCTTGCCGCTGGTGCTCCTGCTTCCGCTCCCGCTGCCGCTCCCGCTCCTCCTGCTCTCTCCCGATCCCGATGGGAGCTGCAAAGCTACACGGGCACATCGCGCGCAAGAGAGCGAGCAGGAGAGCGGAAGCCGCAGCACCACTGGCGGTGCCGGCCTCCGCTCTTCCTGCGGGTCCTGCCCCGCTTCCTGCGGCACCTGCGGGTCCTGCTCCTGCTGCCTGGTTGCACGGAGGGCGACGGGCTCCAGGGCAGGCGAGTAGGCCGGACACGTCCGTGGGGTTTGTTGACCTCTCCGATGTTGGGGCCTCGCATCGTCAGAGGGGCAAGATGCTGTGACAGTATAGTCAACCCGCATAGTAAGGATGGGCAACCTTCCTAAGGGTACCCCTTGCATCCTTGCCTCCTCGGTCCAGCCTTGGCCACGTTCGTTCGCCGCGCCCCGCTCGAAAAGCTTCGAAACGGCCGTCCAAGGCCCTGGCATCCTCATCGCGCATCCTTATGATACGGACCGACTATTGTGCTTCAAGATTCCAGGGTGTTCCAGAGGGAGGTCCCCGAGATGTTCGGGAGGAGCAGATCATCCGCATCATGACGGCATCGCTGTCGTGAGTCGGGCATCCCCATGGGCTTGAGTTTGCCTTGGTGGGTTTCCACTCCTGCGCCCACCTGTGAGTCCGCTTGAATCTTCCAGGTCCTGCTGCTGCTGCTGCTGTTGGTAGTTTTCCTTTGTTCTTTATTGAAGGAGGTGTGTGAGGCGGAATAATGATAATGGACAAAGAGGGAAGGGGGGGATAGCAGGAGGAGACAGAGGAAGGGAGATTAGGAGGAGGAGGAGGAGGAGGAGGAGGAGGAGGAGGAGGAGCGACGAGACAAACCAGGTGCGAACCGGCATACGTGGGATCCTGAATGGTCACGGGACGACGGGAGGCGCGAACAGAAGAGGGAGGGAAGGCGGAAGAGCAGCAGGAGGAGGACATGGACATGTGGTGAGAACAGAGCGGGGGGGGGGCAGGAGGATGGAGGGGAAGAGGGCAGGGAGCAAGAGGAGAGGGCACCCCAGGGAGGAGGCGCACGGAGAGGCGTGCGTGGCTGGGAAGGATGGCGAGGCAGGCAGGCGGGCAGGGTGCGGAGATGAGGCGCCCACGGCCCAGGAGTTCGCCCAGCGGGAGCTGAGGCGCGGCGCCCCTCTCGCCGCGCGACTCGGGCAGCGCAGGCAGGCGGGCAGGGTGCGGAGATGAGGCGCCCACGGCCCAGGAGTTCGCCCAGCGGGAGCTGAGGCGCGGCGCCCCTCTCGCCGCGCGACTCGGGCATGCGCGCGCGCAAGAGAGAGAGAGAGAGAGAGCGAGAGAGAGAGAGAGAGAAACAACAACAAACGAACAAACAAAAAACGAGAGAAAGAGAGAGAGAGAGGGAGGGCGAGGAGAGGAGGATAGAGAGAGAGAGAGAGGGAATGAGAGAGAGAGGGAGGGGGGGGAGAGAGGCAGAGGGGGGAGAGGAGGAGAGAGAGAGAGAGAGAGAGAGAGAGAGAGAGAAAGAGAGAGGTGGGGAAAGGGGGAGAGGGGGGGAGGGAGGGAGAAAGGGGGGGGGAGAGAGAGGGGCGGGGAGAGGTCTGCACACGCAGCGCCGCCCTGCGCGGCAGGGCTCTTGCGGAGCGGGGGCCGCGCTCGGCGGAGTCGGTGGGGGCGGCTCCTCGCCCCGCGGCGCGGGCACCGCCCGCGCGGTGCAAGGGGGGGGGTGGGCGGCCTCTTGGGCCGGAGCGTGTCGCCTGCCGCGGCTTCCGGGAGCCTCGAGGCGGGGGTCAACGCCGGACACCGCTCGCGCGGTGCGGGGGGGGGGGGGGGGGGGCCTCTTGGGCCTGCCGCGGCTTCTGGGTGCCTCGAGGCGGGGTGCACTCCCCTGTGCTGGCCGGGGTCGTGGGGGCCTCCCCTCCCCTCCTCCCCCCCCCCTTAAAATTCGGTGCAGGGGGCCTGACCTGGGCCCGGCGCCCCGGCGCTATGGAGGCGACTTCCTGCTGCGTCACGCTCGGCCAGCGCGAGTCGGACAAAAAAAGGTCAGCATGAGCGCTGGATCTCGCAGGATCCTGCAGGGACAGGGTCGCATTGACCCGGGCGTGTAGGTACAGGGTCCGGCAGGATCATCTTGCAGGATCCTTCGCGCTGACTTGGGTTTTGTGTGCCCGGTTTCTTGCAGGCTCTGCAAGACTCTGCAAGGCCTGACTGACCAGGGTTTGGATGGACCCGGGTCAGGAGATCCCCGAGGCTTGACGCACAGGGGCGCCAGGGGCGCACAGGTCAGGCGATCACAAAACATAGATCCAGGGGGCGTGGGTGAACGGTTAGCGACGGGTCCCGTTTCCATGGAAAGTCGCGGATTTCCGCCGCCGAACGAGGCGGCACCGCCCGCATTTTGGGAAAGGCACCTCCCCCGATCCATGGATTTGGCGACCGCGCGCCAAATCCGTGGATCGCCAAACCATGTTTGCGCGCCCCCGAACATGCGGGCCGAATCGAATAAGAAACAACCGTAAACAGAAGTTCCTCGGGCTCCGCGCGGATTTCTTGGATCCGCGTTGTGGCCCCCCGGCGGCACTTCCGGCGCCGCCCCTGGCGCGTTCCCGCGCGCCAGAGAGCGGGGCGACGCTGACTGGAGAAGGCGCGCTTGCGCGGCCGCCGGGATGGCTTAGAAAACGGGCCTGGAGGCCACGCGTATTGATCCTCTCGTTTGGAAAAGAGTACGCAGACTGCACCTCCCTCCCGAGCCGTGATTTGTCGGGGCGACCTGTGAGATTGCAATTAGAACATGCGATTTTGTTTTACCGCTCATCTTGCAAATGACTCATACCATCCCAGCGAAGCCGGAATCGACCCCCCGCCACTTCCGACAAATAGTGCCATGCGTGCGCAGGAGTATACCTCAACAGTGCATTTTCTAAGAACTCCTTGCAGCCGAACCCATGAACTCCACCCGTGCGCGAACATGTCGGAATCACACGGAACACATTCGCTATGTGGGCAGCTCAGCATACGCGCGAACCAATTCCCCAAACGATGCTTGCACTCAGCGGCTTCTGCTCACGCTTCTGAGGTGTCGGAGCGCTGCCCCGACGCTTCGCCACGCTCGGGCCGGCTGCCGCCCGTGGCCTGCCGTTGCCGCCCGCTTGGGGGTCCCAAGGATTCGCCGTGCTCTCCGGCCCGTTGCCGCCCAGTGCCGGCCGCTGCCGCCCGTCGGGGGTGCCCCGAGGAGGCAGACCTGTGTCACAGCGCAGCCTGTACTACTCCAGATTTCGTAGTAGAGGGAGGGGGGTCTCATTTCGGGGGGGGGGCTCTTCCAGGCCATCTTGGAGGGCCTGGGGGGGGTCTGGGGACGACGTTTTGGAGGGTTCTCCCACGGGGGGGGGTCTGAAATGGCTTGTCTTGGAGGGTCCAGACCCCCTCCCTTTTATTACGAGATCTGGAGTAGCATCACTTTTGCGCTGCGGGTTGCAGGTGGCACATCCCGAGTGCAGTGACTCGATGTTTGGGGTCTGCGCTGGCAGTCCGCTGGCTTCTCGTTGCAGTTATGGCAGGTGGTCTGTGCGCGCGCAGTTGTTGAAATCTTGTGGAAACCAAGCGATTTTAGAAATCTCGTGCAGAGCCCGCGTTCGCATCGCACCACGCGGTGCATCCACACGAACCCGTATCAAAATTCATGCGGGCCACACGTGCGTGCCGCTGCGCGCTCGCGTGCCGAAATCCTTCCAAAACCATGGATGTCCGAAGCATATCGATCTATACATATGTATATATATATATATACATATATCGGCGCACCGGGTCCGGGGGCCCGGGGCCGGGACCTCGACCGCAAATGTGCACCCCGGGGGGCCCGGAGGCTCGTCGGGGCTTGCCGGGGGCCTCCCCAGTCAGACAAGACGGCCCAAGAAGCGCCCAAGACGGCCCAAGAAACTTCCAAGAGGCCTCCAAGAGGGCTCCGAGATGCTGAAGATGGCCTCCAGACGTCCAAGGACGCCCCCAAGAGGCCCCAAGAAGCCTCCAACATGCGTCCCAAGAGGGCCCCTAGACGCAAAAATTGGCCCATTCCCTTCGTAAAACGTACATTTTTCAACAAAGTTGCCTTTTGGGCTTTCCGACGTTACAGGACGGCCCAAGAGGCGCCCAAGACCGCCCCAAGACGGCCCAAGAAGCTTCCAAGAGGGCCCCAGGACAGCCCAAGAGGGCCCCAAGACGGCCCAAGAGGCGCCCAAGATGGCCCAAGAGGGCCCCAAGACGGGCCCAAGAGGGGGCCCAGAGGGGGACCACGAACCGCAAGCTCGAGCCTTCCGCCCCAAGAGGCCGCCAGGAGGCCCCCAGGAGGCCCCTCAAGAGGCCCCAGGAGACCCCAGACGTCCAAGGACGCCCCCAAGAGGCTCCAAGAAGCCTCCAACATGCGTCCCAAGAGGGCCCCTAGACGCAAGAATTGGCCCATTCCCTTCGTAAAACGTACATTTTCAACAAAGTCGCCTTTTGGGCTTTCCGACGTTACAGGACGGCCCAAGAGGCGCCCAAGACCGCCCCAAGACGGCCCAAGAAGCTTCCCAGAGGGCCCCAGGACAGCCCAAGAGGGCCCCAAGACGGCCCAAGAGGCGCCCAAGATGGCCCAAGAGGGCCCCAAGACGGGCCCAAGAGGGGGCCCAGAGGGGGACCACGAACCGCAAGCTCGAGCCTTCCGCCCCAAGAGGCCGCCAGGAGGCCCCCAGGAGGCCCCTCAAGAGGCCCCAGGAGACCCCAGACGTCCAAGGACGCCCCCAAGAGGCCCCAAGAAGCCTCCAACATGCGTCCCAAGAGGGCCCCTAGACGCAAAAATTGGCCCATTCCCTTCGTAAAACGTACATGTTCAACAAAGTTGTCTTTTGGGCTTTCCGACGTTACAGGACGGCCCAAGAGGCGCCCAAGACCGCCCCAAGACGGCCCAAGAAGCTTCCCAGAGGGCCCCAGGACAGCCCAAGAGGGCCCCAAGACGGCCCAAGAGGCGCCCAAGATGGCCCAAGAGGGCCCCAAGACGGGCCCAAGAGGGGGCCCAGAGGGGGACCACGAACCGCAAGCTCGAGCCTTCCGCCCCAAGAGGCCGCCAGGAGGCCCCCAGGAGGCCCCTCAAGAGGCCCCAGGAGACCCCAGACGTCCAAGGACGCCCCCACGACGCTTCGCGTCACCAATTTCTTCTCACAACGATTCCTGGGTCTGTGACTCGACAGAACCTAAGCGCGCGCGAAGCGCGCGCGCGTGGTTCTAGTATATATATGTGTAGAAGCCACGCGTTTGAATTTCAGCATATGCCTGAATTGTAGCATCTATTTGAATTTCTGCGCGCGCGCTTCCTCGTCACCGTCATCATTGCCATCGCATCCCCCCCCGTTATCGGCATCGTCGATCGCCGCCACTGCTGCCATCATCATCACAATCATCTTCATCACCGGCGCATGGACATCATCATTCGTCATCGTCGTCACCGGCGACCCGCGCCGTCATTGATCTTGCTGTCGTCGTCGTCGTCGTCGTCGTCACCATCGCTGCCACGACTGCGACTACCATCTTCCTTGCCGCTGCTGGCGACGCCACCACGATATCGCGCCCGCCCCAGTGACTGATCGCATTGAAGCGCCCTCGAGCCAGCGCGTCTTTTCAGACTCGGCTCCCATCGGTAAGTGCCATCGCGGCCGAATCAGTTGTGCCAACCCAGTTGGCTTATCTGCGTGTGAACGTGCGCGCGCCATTGCGGCCGCAGAGACGTGCTTGCAAGTGCCAATCGGCCATTGCAATCGTGGCCGAATGGGTTTGCCAACAAGTTGCGGGTGGGAGGGTGGGATGTTTGCGCGAGCATTCGAGTTGACAAATCATTAACGGCAAAGTCAATTTGTCGCTTTACATTTATGCCCCGAAACCGAAAGGAGGGATCCCAAGTCTTGATTTCCAGCTTGTGGTGACCCCTTCGGAACAGTCCCATTTAGGGGAAGCCCCGCGGGCAGATTCCGCAGTGGGTCCCAGGTGGGGGGAGGGAATGTTTATGTCAAACTTGGGGGTGTCGCCCCGAAGCAGGTTCCTGATTGGGAAGATCCTTGAGTTTCAGCCTATGGGGACCCATCTCCGAAACAACATCATGTGGAGGCCCTCAAGGGCGGGATCCGCAGTGTGGGGGGGGGGTCCAGAGGGGGAAACATAGTGGTTTCAAAGCTACGGCCTCACCCTGGCCTTAACCCTAGCCTTGTCTGAGAAGGGCGGGGAGCAGATCCAATCAGTGCCGCCCGCATGGTAGGAAGGCGTTGACCGCTTCACGCCGCTGGCAAGCTGAAGAGCCCCGCTGCTCGGGAGGCGCTCCGCTGACCGCCCCGGCCGGACGTCGATCGCTGCTTGCTGTCAGAAATTGGAGCATCTGCATTACTAGTGTCGGGCTGTTTTTCAATCCCAGGACTTCTTGAGTGTCGAGTATGACGCTGGGGTGGTGTGGTGTATACCTTTGTCCCCGATGCTCCGGGGAAACAACGAAACATGTAAACACCAGTGTCCCGTACAAAACAGGATCCGCTCTCCAGTGCAAATTCTGATGCAGGGCTGGAAGGAGCGTCGGTGGACAGATTTCGATTCTTTATGATGGTCGTTGGTGGCGGCGCGAGTTTCAAAGAGAGAAGGATGTATCCACACATCTAATTCTGTATATGAACACATCTATATGTGTCGAAGACGCCTACGGCGAGTCACCGCTGCCCCCCATGTCGTTTGGAATCGTTAACGTGGCCGAGCGTTGTGGCAAGAGCTCTGCCGAGCGATCGGACCATGTGTTCCCCCAGCCGCTGTGGGAACCCTTCGGGAAACACTTGGGGCAGGATTGCGGGAAGATCGGGAGGATGAGGAGAATGAGTAGGAAGAGGAGGAAGAGGAGGAAGAGGAGGAAGAGGAGGAGGAGGAGGAGGAGGAGGAAGAGGAGGAGGAGGAGAAGGAGGAGGAGGTGGGGGCATTTGGGGAACCTCTGGGGGCACTGTTAGGGCCTCCTGGGAGCTTCCTGGGAGCCTTTTGGAGGCATCTTGGAGGCCTCCTTGGGCCTCTCGGGGGCCTTTGGGGGCTTCTAGGCGGCCTCTTTGTCGTCTTTGGGCGTTCCTGGCCCGCCTGACGCCGTGTGAAGCCGTCTTGAGGGCTTCTCTGGGCCGACTTGAGGCCTTGTTGGGGTGCTCAAGAGCCGTCTTGGAGGCTATCCTGGACGTTGGAGGCCTCCTGGGCCGTCTTTGGGGGCGTCTTGGGGAGGCCTTTTGGGCGATCTTGGGACGATCTTTTGTTGCTGCTCTCGGGCCGTCTCGGGCCGTCGGAAAACCGAGAGAAACAAATGCTAACATCTTTCAGCAACCAAAGGAAAAACAGTGATTCTGGCCTTGTCGGGTCTTCCTGGAGGCCTCTTGGGGTCTCTTGGGCTGTCTTGCAGGCCTCTTGGGGGCCTCTTGCGGACCTTTTGGGCCGTCGTAGGCCATCCTGAGGCCTTCTTGGGCCGTCTTGGGTGCATTTAGGGGCCATGTTGGCATCTCTTGGGGCCATCTTGGCCGTCTTGGAGGCATCTTGGAGGCCATCCTGGGCCATCTTGGCCGTCGGGGAGGCATCTTGGAATCTAGTTTGGGCCATGTTAGGCGAGACATTCATTTTCTGGGTGGCCGGCGCGCTGGGCCGAAGCCCTAAGGGGGAGTTCCAGAAGAACCAAACACCTCCTGCAATCTGGGACGCCAGGCAGCACTGTGGCAAGCCAACGGGGGGCGGCGGATCAAATGGCTTTCGGCCCATTCCGCGGGGCCGAGGGTTCGAAGTGTCCGCTTGGGTTTCCCATCTTGGCCCTTTCGTGGGGCGGTCTTTGGGCCCTCGTGGGACGTCTGGGGCGCCCCTTGGGCAGTCTTGGGCGCCTCTGGGGCTGCGGGCGATCTTGGGGACCTCTGGGGCCGCTCTGGAGCGTCAGGAAACCGAAAGTCGAGAACGCCCAAATCCTTCAAAACCTAAGGAATTATTTTGGCCTCTTGGGGCCCTCTTGGGAGACCTTCTGGAGGCCTCTTTGGATGTCTTGGAGGCCTTTTGAAAACACTATGGGAGCCTCTTGGGTGCCTCTTGGTGGCCTCTTGGGAGCCTCTTGGATGCCTCGTGGGGGCCTCTTGGGGGCCTCTTGGGGGCCTCTTTGGGGCCTCTTGGGGCCCCTTGGGGGCACTGGGGCGTCCCCTGGGACCGAGGGCTCGAAATGTCCGCTCGGGTTCCCCATCTTGGCGTGTTTGGGGCCGTCTTTGGGCCCTCGTGGGACCTCTGGGACGCCCCTTGGGCAGTCTTGGGCGCCTCTGGGGCCGTCTTGGGGCCCTCTTGGGGGGCCTCTGGGGCCGCCTTTGGGCGATCTTGGGGACCTCGTGGGCCGTCTTGGAGCGTCGGGAAACCGAAAGTCGAGAACGCCCAAATCCAAAAACAAACAATGAATAATGTTGCCCCCTTGTGGCCCTCCTGGGAGGCCTCATGGAGGCCTCTTCGGGTGTCTTGGAGGCCTTTTGGGCCGTCTTGGGGCCGTCTTGGGTGTCTTTGAGCAATCTTTCGGCGACCAGGGGCCCTCCTGGCCTCCCCCTAGCGGCCCTGCGAAGGAGGGTGAGGAGGGGGGGCGGGAGGATGAGGAGGAAGAAGCGCATAAGGGTGAGGAGTGCGGATGAGGGCAGAGGAGAGAAAAGGAAGTGGAGGTAGGAGGAGGATATAGGAGGAGAAGGAGGAGGAGGAGGGAGGAGGAGGAAGAGGAGGAGGAGAGGGAGGAGGGAGAAGGAGAAGGAGAAGGCGGAGGAGGAGGAGGAGGAGGAGGAGGAGGAGGACGAGGAGGAGGACGAGGACGACGAGGGACGGGGCCCCGGCAGGGAGGAGGGGCGCAGCGAGTGCCCCTGCCGTCCAACGCGACCCGCGAGGGCCGACAGGGAGGTGGTGCTCGCGGCGGTGGGCTCGCAGGGCTCCGCGCTCAGGCTTGGGCGGGCGTCGTTCCTCCTCCTCCTCCTCCTCCTCCTCCTCCTCCTCTCCTCCTCCCTCTCCTCCCTCGCCTCCCTCCTCCTCCTCCCCTCCTCCTTCTCTACTCTCTTTCCTCATCCTCATTTTCTCCTTCTTCTCTCCTCCTCCTAATCCTTCTCCTCCTCCTCCTCCTCCTCCTCCTCCTCCTCCTCCTCCTCCTCCTCCTCCCTCGCCTCCTCCACCTCCTCTTTTTCTCATCATCCTCCTTCTCCCCCTCCTCCTCCACCCTCCTCCTCCTCCTCCTCCTCCTCCTCCTCCTCCGTCTCCTCGTTCTCCTCCTCCTCCCCTTCCTCCTGCAGGGGCCTTATGCAGGGGACACTGTGCGCTTTGTGCCCGGCTCTTGCGACTGCCCTCGGGATTGGACCCGCGAGCGCGTGCGCATGCAGGAGGAGGAGGAGGAGGAGGAGGCGCAGATGAGCGCAATAGATACGGACACTTTGCGCAAATTGTGAGTGTGCGCATTGTGTGCAAGCACTCTTCGTTCCAGCACTTCTTCATAGCACATAGTAACTATTCTGTGTGCGTGTGCCTCGCTCGGGTCGTACATTCTCTCTTGTTCCGTCTTTTGTCTTTGCCTTTTCCCCGCTCTCGACGCGCTCGGACGTGCACGTGTTTTCCTTTTTATCTGCCTCTCTCTTAAGATTTGTCCTTTTTGCTCCCATGCTCCTTCTAGCTCCTCTGCCTCCTTCCTCCTCCTTCCTCCTCCTTCTTCCCCTCCCCCTCCCCCTCCTCCTCCCCCTCCTCCTCCTCCTCCTCCTCCTCATCATCATCATCATCCTCCTCATCCTCATCTTCGTCCCCCGACTATTCCCATGTCCTCATCCACCCCTGTTCGTAAGCAGACGGTGGAGATCCGCCAGTGACGTCAGCTCACGGTGGCCGCTCCCTCCATCTTCGGCCAGGACCCTGTGCCCCCACGCAGCGCGCGAGGTCGACCCAGAAACTTACAGTGGGGGCCCGTGCCAAGAAACACCCTGCTTGCCTCCAGGGTGCCCTGGGCTTCTTGGGTTCCGATGCACTTGCGATGGAGGGCGTGACGTTCCCCCGCACCAGAAATCAGTGGACGTCCTGAAGACTCAGGCTTGGGTCTCCCTGGGAAGGTCTCTTGTGGTCGGGGCCCCCTACTGCATCCTTCTCCCCTCTTCTCTTTCTCCTCTCCCCCTTTCTCGATCGTGTCTCGTGGGCCAGCTGTGGGGGACCGTGCACACGCGGCGTCGGCCTCCTCCCCCCCCTCCCTCCCCCCCCCGTGCCTCCTCTCGACCCGCGTGCAAGACTGCTCTCCTGCTCTCGGCGCACCGTCGACCCGAGTCACTGCTCCAGCTCACCCACCGGTCGTGGAAAGGATTCCCAGATTCCGATCTGCTTCAAGCGCCTCTCTACTTCGGTGACAGAGAGGCCTCACCTTTGCCGTCCTCCTCGGGGAACGGACGGAAACCCACTCTACTTTCATCGCCTTCCTACTTCATGTTTCTACCTACTTCTTCCGACCGATGGGTATGGGGCCCCAGCACGGCGGCTGGCGGTGGCTCTGGAGGTGGGGGGGGAGGCGGGCAGGTACGCCTCCGAGGAGCTCCACGGCGACCGCGGAGTGGTGCCCTGGGATTGCGGGAGGAGCTCAAGAGCGCAGCAGCCATGGTTCTTGTGTATGGCCATTGTTAAAGAGTGGCGGGACACTGCCAAGCTTCAGGGGTATGTTAGTAGTGAGACGCAAGCGTCTTGATGCTTTCTGGCGCTCGTGGTCCTCCGAATGCTCTCCAGAGGCCTCACGGGGACCTCGAGAGACCTCTGCGGACCCCAGGGAGGGAGGAGGAGGGAGGATGTGGCGGCTAGGAGCCCATATAGCTACGGTAGGTTCGTGCGGCGTTAGCGCGCCAGCGACGCTAGCGAAGGAGTTCGAGGTTGAATTCTGCGACGCAGAAGCCTGATGGATACGGGGACGCCACCGGACACGACGGATATCAACCTTGCACGATCGGGCCGCGATCGATTCAAGGTTGAACGGTCGACGCGGTGTCAAAAACCGTCGCACGCGCCGATGCCGCACGCGCCGACGGGGCACGTACACACGGGAAGGTCTGTGCACGACGTGGGCCTTCTGGAGGCTCCGCGCCATGCATTCCCTCTCCCCAGGTGGATTGCAGTGTCCACGGGGTCGACCAGGGCCCAGGAAGGTGCGCGATTCCGTTCGGTTGGCCGAAGCGCGGTCGGCTGTACTCGGCTGGCCAGATTCGATTGTTAACTGCGTCGGTATGTCTTCCCAGGCTGCTTGCGGCATGTCGGTTTAAGGTTCGCTGTCGGTTCGGTCAGTTTTCCGTGATACTGTTGGCGTGGCGAGGACGCCGATGTTGACAATGTGGCATTTCCACCATCCACGCCCGACTTGTCACTTGTCCGAATCGTGAGAGAGAGAGAGAGAAACAAAAAAAAGAGGAGAGTCAGAGGGCCAGGCGCCAGACGTCTGGCAGAGACGGGCTGGCACGAGCGTGGCGACCAGAGAAGACCGGGTCGGACGGAAGGGAGGACAGGGCACCAGGGATGATGCGCATCTGCTGCATGCGGCCGGTGTCGGCTCCGCCGCCGGGCGCCTTCCTCGATACGCTGGCGCCTCCTGGCGCCGGGAGGCACCGGGGAATCAGCTGCGGGAGCCGATTCGCCAACCCTCTTGTGCGATCCCCCCTTCTTCGTCCGACCTGGGTAGAGCGGAATGCGATGGGAGTCGAAGGGGGGGAGGGAGTCCGGCATGTGTTGAGAGAGGGGCGCGAGGGCGCCTCAGATTGCCCGTTAGCGACGCGGGTGGGATCGTGACGGAGGTGTCTGATCCACCTGGGGCAAGTGCAGTGGATCGCCTCAGTTTCGTCCATACGATGATGTGGATGATGAGGTCACAATCTCCTCTCTTTGGAATAAAGAATAAAACCATACAAGAGCCTAGTCAGCCCAGAGCCGACGTGGGGACCCAAAGCCCTGCGTGGGTAGGGTTTATTTTACATGCGTGTTGTCGCGCCCCTTCACAAGCATGGCCTAGCAGCCATGCGCGAGTGCCTATGGCGGACTCACTGGGCTGCCGAAGCATCGAGCTAAGCCGAATGATGAGGAAGAGAATGTGGCCAACGCCTCAACGATCGACAATGGTCTCTGCGTGCATCCCCGCCTTTGCAGGCAGCCGCCGCCTTCTGCGCTTCACCCTTTCCCCCCCTCTCCGTCTCGGGCCCATCGACTCCATGACTCTTTTCGCGCATCCCCACCAACCCATCCAAAGACGATCCCCAGGCGAGTTGCCTGGATATGGGGAAGGCGTAGGGGTGTTGGGAAACCTCTTGGGGTCAGATTGGAGGCCATCAGTCGAGCGAGGGCTGGCGCCGATTAACACCGTCTCGTGGAGTCCTCTGGGCGTCGCCTTGGAGCCTTCATGGATCCCTCTTGGGGGTCTCTCCGGCGACCCTCGAGCCGTCTTGAGCCCCAGAATGCCACCACAAGCGCACGGGGAACAATCTGGGCCCAAACGCCTCCCAGGGATGCCGTCGAGAGGCAATGCATCCGCCAATCATCTGGTGTTGTTCCACATCTTCTCGGAGGCGGCGCTGAGAGCGTCGCCCGCTTGTGGCCATCTCGGGACCTCTCGGGGCCCTCTCAGTCTTGGACTTACCTTTGAGCCCCAAGATCGGCCCAGGAGCGTCCCAGGAGGGTCCCGCGCAGATCCACGAAGTCCGCGCGGACCCTCGAAAGTTTAGATCACTTGCAGTCCTCAGTGTTTCCCTGTAGCGTTTGGCTCGAGGTGTCTGAAGGCTGCTCAGAAACGCGGAGGAGTCCCACACGGGGGACGGGGAGCCCTAGGACGTTTCGCTTGGCAGCCGTCGCCTGAGATGTCCCCTCACTTCCTTCCGGAGTCGTGCTCTCGCCCCGGTTCTGGCTGCGTGCATGTCCGGTCCTGTTGGCCACGACCTGTGGTGGTAACAAGTGCATTCATTTCGCCGTGCTCGCGCCTTTAATGGTGGCCACATCTTGGCCCGGACGGCCACGGCCACCTGTGACAGAACTGCCCCAGGGTGCACATGGCCCTGCCCTCACCACGGTCCCGGCTGCATTGCCCCAGGGTGCACATGGCCGTGCTCTCACCACTGTCCTGGCTGCACCTTGTTCCCTCGCGAGGCTTCCCGGCCGTGCTTCTCCGGATCCACGACCCAGGAGGGGAAAAAATAATTACACAGACACAATGAATCGTCGATACCCCGGCAAATATGGGGAAATATGGGAAGTGGGGGGGAAGACAAAAACCCAGAACACATGGGAGAGTATGGGGAATCCTGTTATTTGTGGCTATTTTTTGGTGTGTCCCCAGGGCCCAGCTATTGCGGAGCCTTGCTGCGGCATTCGTTGTTCCTCCGATCGTGGCCGGGCCCTCCTGCTCCCGCGCGCGGCCAGGGCCGGCTGGGGGGGGGGCAGGTGCTCGTCGCCATCTCGCAGGACGGGTGCGCCCTCAGGCGCGCGAGCGTTGGCGCGGCCCTCTGGGCTCCGCCTCGCCCCCCCGGCCCCCAGCCCCTTGAGAAGGAGCGGGGGGAGGGTGAGGGGAGGAGGGAGGGGAGGGAGGTCGGGGGCGGAACAGAGGGGGGTGATGACTAGGGGGGGGGTGGATATCATGGCGTGGGCCATAGTATTTCCCCAGATTTCATGGCGCCTCTTCTTACTTCATTACGTCCCTGTCCCCCCCGCTGGGCCGCGCACATGCCACCGGTCATGATTTGCACCCCCCCTCTTGGACACCCCCCTCTTGACCGCTCCCGAGGAGGGAGCGGAGAAGGGGCGGGGAAGGGGGAAAGGGAGTGAGGACGGGAGGAGTTGCAGAGAAAGAGGGGGGGACGGGTGGAGATATATCATATGCTGGGGTAGCGCGGGCCTTCTTGACCCCTCCAGGGTCTCCCAGGCCTCCAGCTGGCCGCTAAAAATAGCTCGGGGGGTCCCCGGGTAGCGCCAGGAAGCGCGAAGGGGGTATGACGATTTGACACGAGGAGTGCAGAAGGGCCCAAGGGTAGCTCCAACCTTGACAAGGCGGCTCAAGACGACCACCCCAGATCGGCCGAGGGGTTCGAAGAGGACCCTTCAAAGGCCCCCAATGCGTCAACACAGATCAATGTTTTGGTTGTTGTTTTTGCACGGTGTTCGATGTTTTGCCTTTCCGGTTCTCAGGGCGTCCCAGATGGCGTCAAGGTGGACCAGCACGGCGTCAAGAGTGCCGTAGGAATACCTCACGCCAGTCCAACCTTCATGAGGAAGACAACACAGATAAACATAATCGACGATCCCCAGGAAGTCTGAAAAGTATGGAAAGTGGAGGGAGAGACTAACGCCCAGAAACTATGTATTGATTTGTGTGTCCCTGGACCCCATTCACGGCACATGCAAAACCCAGCCCTGCCTCAAGGACAATTGCCCCACGAGACCCCCAGACACTCCGACATGCGCCCACGAGGCTCCCGCCCACACATGCCCGGGGGAGGCCGGGAAGGCTTCTCATCCGCAAGGGGCTTCGCCCTCTGCCGCCAGCCGCCTCTGCGTTGTAGTCGGAGGCGTCAGAGCTGTTCCGGGACGTCTCGGCGCTGAGAAGAAACATTTGGGCACATGCGAGGACGAGTGGCGTTCGGCAAGCACCTTGATGTTGGAGCTGTTGCTGGACGCTGTTTCCTTCTCATGGCGCGAAGCTGGGGTAATTTACTAGAGGGTCTGGCTTCGGGAGTGCGAATCTGGCGTGATTTGTCAAAGGTTTCTAGCCTCGGGAGCGCGAAGGGTTCTGGCCTCGAGAGCACGAGTCTGGCGCACTTTGCGAGGGATTCTGGGTTCGGAACCGCGAGCTTGAAGATCTCAAGAGGGATTCTGATTTCGAAAGCGCGAACCTAGTGTAATTTACAATGGGTTCTGGCTTCGGGAGCGCGACTGTAGTGCAATGTGCTAAGGATTCTGACTTCGGGGGCGCGACTCTTGTGTAACTTGCGAAGGAGTCTGGCTTCGGAAGCGCGAACCTGGCGTCATTTACAGCGGGTTCTTGTTTCGGAAGCATGAAGCTGGCGTTTTTGTGACGGGATTCTTTTCTCGGGGACGCGATTCTGGTGCAATGTACCCAGGATTATTGTGTCGGGGGTGCGAGTGTCCCAGGGCCCACCAGAAATTCAGAACACGCGATTCGGGCATGGTGGCCAGGCCGGTTTTCGGCTCCCCCCCCCCCCTTGCGCGGACAGCAACCATTTACAGTAGGAGACAAACGAGGGTGTACAGAATCACCACCCTGACACGTCGATTTGTGAATTGTCCGTTTTCGGTTCTCGAGAGGGCGCCGCGACCCTCATTTTCCAGGCTTGCGCCCGCCAGGTTTGGGCCCGAGGTCGTTTTCACTAAACCACGTTTTACTAAAGGGGGGTCTGCCAATTCCCGGAACAAAACATGGCATCATAATTTCGGAGGCTGGAACTGGATCAGGTTGCAGGCAACCTCAGCCCCGCAGCCGGGCCCCACGAGGGGGCCGGCGGACATATTCCCCCGAGAGACAGGGTACGGTGCATGCGCGGATAGTACGGTGTGCGTGGCGTTTGCACGTAGTAGGCTTGTTGGCTTGCGGCGTCGTCGCGTGCCGCCCTCGCGGCGCCTTCGCGTGGGCTTGTCGCTTTCGCGAAGGCGCCTTCGTCAAGGCGCCTTCGCGTGGTTGTTGTGTTTCACATTTCCCGCTGGCAGTATAGAGAACCCCCTTGCTGACCAACATAAATCAATAACCAACGCAAGTCAGATGCGGGGGTCATTTCTTCGAATTCTTCGGTCGGTCGAGAAATGATTCAAAGAAGGCCTCGGAGAAGCCGATGAGCGTCTATGGTCGACCGTGTCTCCAGATGGTTGCAATATGATGCCAATTCCTGGGGCCTCTGGGATAAGAGGGCTGCAGGCTCTCGGTACAGGCCCAAGTCGTCTGAGCGTGCTTTGGGACGCGTCAGAAGCGCCCAGGTGATTGCCAAGGTGGGCGCTTAAGAGTTTGGTCACAGCCCCGGCTTGCGTGCGCTGCACATTTGCGTCGTTTTATATTGTTCTATGTTATGTTGGTTTGCATTGCGCGTCACGCTTTCGAGTTGCGTTGTTCTTCCTTACAGTGTGTTGTCGTTGCCTCTGCAGTAGATTACATGCATTGGTGTGAATTGCGTCGTATTGCAACTTCATCGGTCCACGTAATACATCTCTGCTCGGACCGCGTTGTTGCTATTCCTTCAATTCCTGTTTCATGTTCGGGACCCATATGCACGCAGCTCCGACCTTGTCAAGGGCTGCTGGAGCTTGCTAGGAGCTCAGTGCGCGCGAAGAGCGCGCGTAGCTTTCGCATGGACGCTACAGGGAAACGTACCATGCACTTGTGGCAACAACACTAAGCAGGAGAGGGATGGGGGCGGGACCCGTTCCAGGTTTGTCCTGGGAGTGGCCCGTGCTGTCGTCGACGTTCGGCGTCGCGACGGGCGGTGTGGCGGTGGCGGGGGGAGGGAGGACGGGGAGGGAGGAGGGGAGGGAGAGGATTTGGGCCGAGGTGATCCATCTCCTCATTCTCTCCTTCCCTGTCGTGGTCGTTGTCCTCGTCGTCGTCTTCGTCCCTCTCGTCATCCTCCTACATCTCCTCCTCGTGTTCCTCGTTGCCTTCCTCCTCCTCGTCCCCTCTTCCTCGCTCGCCATCGTTCCTCCTTTCACCCTCCCTCCTCGTCCTCCTAAACGCCACTCGGCCGGAGCGGCGCGACGGCAGTTGGAGAGGCCGCCTCCTCCCCTCCCCCCCCCATCTCCTCCGCGCTCCTGCCCCGCTCCGGAGCGCCCGAAGCGCAGCCGGGTGCCGATGTGCACGCGCTGTCGTGGATGATCGGCCCTCGGCGAGTTCCACGCACGCCGTGCCGTGCCGAACGCACTGGCCTCTCGGAAGGCAGCGCCCAGGAGTATAGACTGGTCGAGCGCCAACGGGGACTTTCGCCTCAAGATCCCAGGCGTCGGAGTGGGGCCAATTCCCGTCAGCGTCTGATACTATATTCGGATGGCAGGGCGTTCTACAAAACCTCCTTTCCGCTCGTCCCTCCCTACTCCTAAAAACCTTTTTCTCCGCGCCTCCCCCTCCGCCTCCTCCTCCCTCTCCTGCTTCTCCCCTTCCTCCTCTCCTCCTCCTCTCCTCCTCCTCCTCTTCCATTCGGTTTCCTGCTGCATAACAACTCTTTGTCGCACCCCGGGGCGATTCGGAAGGGCGGGCTGGGAGTTCCGCGTGAGACACCCCTACCATCCATGCCCCGGAGGCTAAACAACGGACAGCCGTCTCACAGATTGAGGGCGGGTCGTTTTCAGAATGTGGCTCTCGCCTTGGCGCCGCGAACATCCGCTTCAAGCAGGAGCAAGAGATTCGTGTGGTCCTCGCTTCAGCGCCGCGCAACAGTATTTCGCAAGAGCTTCGTTGTCTGAGGGCGGTTCTTTTTCAACATGTGGCTCTCGCTTCAGCGCCGCGCGGATTCCTAACAGGAGCTTCACGGATTGAGGGCGGTTCTTGTTCAAAATGTGATTATCTCTTTTGCGCCTCGCACATTCGTCTCAAACATTTGCAAGAGCCTCTGTAGTTAGTTGTCATGTTTCACATACCAGAAATGGAGGTCTGGAGCGATTCAGGGTTGCCACGGCGCAGCAGTTCTGTTGATTCGCGGTGGTGAAGCTCCAGAATGATGCTGTTGCGCGACTCAGGATAGTCAAGACGTATCAGTCAGGTTGACTCGTGGCGTTGAAATCCTGAGAACGGTGTATTGGCACGCGCCAGGACTTTTGCAGGGTTGTCCCCCAACGGGTACTTCCCTCAGCGGAAATGAACCCCTGTAGGGGCTTATGAAGAGGGACCTTGCAGGGAGATTGGAATCCAACATCGTTGATGTGTCTTGGGTTTGTTTTGTTCTTTCTCATCTCCAGCTCTACAGAGGAGTCCGACGGTGTTGGCCTCGAGTAAGCCTCCCCGACTGCCTTTGGGGCTAACCCAAGCCAAGCCACCCCCCCCTCCTCCCCCTCCCCCTCTCCTCTTCTCCACTCTCCATTGACTCGCGTCCGCGGATAGAAAGAAGCGCCATGGGAAGTGATGGGAGGGAGGGATCGAATGTCAGATGAGGCGCGATCCCCAAGCTTGGCCCTCCTTTCCCGCTCCCTCCTCCTGCCAATATGTCGACATTTCTAATGTGAGCACTATCAAAGTCGCCACCCGCGCGCGTCGAGCGCTGCGCCGCCTGGCTTACATGGAAAACGAGATGCGAACTCGGAAAGCACATCGATCCCAAGGATCAGTTTACTTTTCCAGCCAGCACGGCCATCTTGCCGCTGTGCACGCTACAGAACTCGCCACCCGCGCGCGCGCGCCGTACTCTGCCGATGTCAGACGGGGCGGGAACGCACCTGGTTCTTGACCCACCTCCTCTCCCCCCACCTCCTCCCCCCCCTCTCCGCCTCCTCGGGGCCCCGCCCGGCCAGGTACGCGTCGAGGAGGCTGCAGGGCGATCGGGAGGCGGGGGCGCGGCGCCCGCCCCCCGAAGTCCCGCGCGCAGATGGGGGGGGGGGGGGCAGGTGGCAGAGATCGATCCAGCGGGTGGTAACGGGGGTGACCTTCGTTTGGGGGTCAAGAGCAGGGCCTGAAGAAGCCCTGGAGGGCCCCTCTTGGAGCCAGCAGGCCCCTCTGGGGCCCTTTTCTTCGCCCCCCTCTCCGGCCACCCCCCACTATCACCCGCCCGAGGAGACGCAAGAGGCTCTGGGCAAGGGCAGATCCGTTCCAGAGCGCCGCGAGCGCTCTCAGAGCGCTCGGGAACGCTCGCCTTTGGGGGAAACGGATGCTGGGGGCACCGGGTCCTGACATTCTTCGCCGTTTTCGGGCGCTCGGGGCCCTTTCCACGGGCCCTCGGCCTGCCGAAGCAAAAATAGGACTCGGGCTGAAGTTCATGCAGCGGGGGAAGGTCCCAGGGCCGAAGATCCGTGTCCCTCGGGACCCTCGTAATCTGAGACCCCACCGCGAGGGTGCGAAGTTTGTTGCGCTTCGCGGTCTGGGCGACTTCAGAGCGAGGCGCGAGCCCCTCGTCTTGCTCCAGGGGGGTGGGCGGCGCGAGAGCGTCAAGATAATTAATCATTGATGCTCATTCGAGTTTGTCCTCGTTCTGGCTTCGTCTCAGGGTGGCAGGTGGCGGAGGGGGGCGCCGCCGTGGACGCTGACTGCCTGTGACGCGTCCAAGCTGGCTGGCGTCCGCTAATTATCGCCCCTCTCGAGATTCACTTCGACTCCTCCGATTCGGTTCGATGCGATTTCGATGGCTTCCGGTTCCGATTCGACTCGACCTCGGACTCCAATCTGGATCCCGATGTACCTTAGGAGGGGAAAACACACACAGACACAATTAATCGTCGATTCCCAAGAAAATATAGGAAATTATGGGAATCGGGCGGGCAGACAAAAACCCAGGAAACATGGGAAAACATGGGGAACCTTTTTATTTGTGAGTATTTATTTGTGTGTCCCAGGGTCCCTTCAGTACCAGTGGAGGCCTCACTGGCCTGCCGATCTCTGCCGCTTCGACCTCTCCCGCCTTGGCTTCCGATTTCCGTCGAGCCGGTCTGTTCCGATCGCCGCTTCGCCGCATCGATTCGATTCGGCTTTTCGGGGGTGGACAGAACCCCCAACAGTGACACGTCGATTAGTGAAATGTCCGTTTTCGGTTCTCGAGAGGGCGCCGTGGCCGTTATTTTCCAGGCTTGCGCCCGCCAGATTTGGGCCTCAGGTCGTTTTCACTAAACCACGTTTTGCTAAAGGGAGGTCTGTCCATCCCCGAGCTTTCCTGCCGTCTCCGCGCAGCGCGCGCTGCGTGGGAGGGGCCTGCTGTTCTTTTTTGTTCGCCCGCCCACCGCGCGACGCCTGGGCTGGGTTTTCGCGCACCCAGGAGGCTCCGCGCGGCGCCCAGGCAAGGGCCGCGCTGCGCGTGGCCTGGCCAGGTGCCGCGGAGTGCCGTGCCCTGAGCATCTCGCCTGCACGTCGGAGGTCGGGGGGGTCGGGGGGTGGGCAAGAGCGAAGCGAAGCCCAGACGTCAACACCAGGACATCGATTTCGGTGTCGTGCTCGGGTCGCGCGTGCGGGCGAGGCGGGCGCTGCGTGCGCGGGGGCCACATGGTGGCCACACACGGTGTCCACACGGTGTCCAGGTGGTGGCCCGATGGTGTCCACGCGGTGTCCACATAATGTCGACATGGTGTACCGATGGTGTCCCGATGGTGCTCCGATGGTGTCCCGATGGTGTCCACATCGTGTCTACATGGTGTCCACAAGGTGCCCACACGGTGTCTATATGGTGTCTCGATGGAGTTCCGGCGGTGCCTCGATGGTGTCCCGATTGTGTCCCGATGGTGTCCCGATGGTGTCTCGATGGTGCCTCGATGGTGTCCCGATAGTGTCCCGATTGTGCCCCCATGGTGCCCCGATGGTGCCCCGATGGTGTTCAGATGGGGTCCCGATGGTGCCCCGATGGTTATCCCGTGAGATCGATCGGTAGATAGTTCGTTAGATCGACGGGGTGTCATACCGATCGAACCGATGGTGATATCGATAGACGGATAGTGAGATCGATTTTGAGATGGGTAATTAGACCGAGTGGTAATGACACTGATAAAAATGATGAGTTACCGATGGTGAGATCAATCGTGAGACCCATAAGCAGATGTCTCATGGCTTGGCCCAGATGGCGTCCACATGGTGTCCACATGGTGTGCCGATGGTGTCTGAACGGTGCCCCAACGGTCTCGCAATGGTTCTGTTCCTGTCGCGCGGTTGTCTTGCAGGTGTCAAGGTGGTTGTTTGAGGGTTTTCCGAAGGGTGTCGAGTTCTCAATGTCACCATCATTACCATCAGCATCACCATCACCATCACCATCATCATCATCATCAGCAGCAGCAGCAGCAACATCAGCATCAGCATCAGCATCATCATCAGCAGCATCATCATCAGCAGCATCAGCATCAGCATCAGCATCAGCATCAGCATCAGCATCATCATCACCACGATCATCACAGTCGTCGTCGGTTGGTTCCCCCCGCACGGCAACCTCTCCATCACCCGAAGAGTGGCCGTACAGGCGAGGGTTCTACGCATTTCTTTTTCCTTCCTCCTCCTTTCCTCGGCCACTCCTACACAATTCCTCTTCCTTCATCCTCCTTCCTCTTCCTTCCTCCTCCTTCATCCTCCTCCGCCGCCTCCCCTATACAAGTCCTATTCCTTCTTCCTCTTCTATTCCTCCTCCTCCCCTCGATGATGGCAGCGCGCGGGCTTTGGCCGCGCGTCGCGGGTATTTGCGAGGGCCCGTAGTTCGGGCGGTTTGGCTCTCTCAGTCTGGTCGTGTTCCCTTGTTCTCTGGGGTTGTTTTTTACAGTCGGAGGATGTTCCGATCCGTACGGATTGCTGGATCGCCGTCCAGGCTCACGCCGTCCAGACTCAGCCTCTCTTGATAGGATGATGCACCCCGTGAGGAGTAAGTCCACTCGGAATGCTCGGTCTCCGTCCCCGCTTACTCCATCCAGATTCAGCCTCTCGTGATGAAGGCGCCCCTGGCCCAATGTGTCTCCAGCGTTTCGCTCTGCTCTGGGGACCCTGGGGACCTCTGGGCCTGTCGACTGGTGCTGAGGCCGCGGGGCCTCCTTGGAAGTCTTCGGCGGCGGCTGCCGCGGCGACGGCGGCTCTGGTGGCGGCGGCTGTGGCGACGGCGGCGGTGGCGGCGGCGGAGGCAGCGGCGACGGCGACGGCGCCGCCGCGGTCCCCAGTCGCGCCGCCGCGCGGCCCGCGCGCGCTCGCGCGCGCGGCCAGGTGGCCTTGGCCGCGGTGCGCCGCTCTTGGGCGGGGCGGGCGCGGCTGTCGCTTACGCTGGGAACCGATCTGCTGGCCGGCGCCCCATCCCGGCGGCGTGCCTGGATCATCCGTATCTTTGCCGCAGGCCCCTCGAACGTGTTTCCCAAGCGAGGTTGCTGAGCGATGCAGGCGAGTGACGCCAGAGTTTGTACTTTATCTGTCACGGCTTCGTGCAGCCGAACGCACTGGAAGGCCACGTCATCATCACCATCACCATCACCATCACCATCAGCATCAGCATCATCATGATCATCATCATCATGATCATCATCATCATCATCAGCATCATCATCATCATCACCATCACCATAATCATCAACATCAACATTAACATCAATATCAATATCATTATCATCATCAGCATCATCATCATTATCATCATCAACCTCATCATCACCATTCTCATCAGCATCATCATCATCACCACCATCATCATCACAACCAGCAGCAGCATCATCACATCATCGCGAAGGCCCCTCCGTTCAGTGGCAATGTTAGGCGGGGATCGGCTCGGGGGGAGATTTCATAAGTGTTTGAACGTTGTTTGATCGCTTCGCTCATTCCGCCGGCCCGTATTGTGCCATCTTTGGCGTTTGCGTGCGTGTTCGTAGGCCATGCGGCGCTGCCGGTCGGCGCTGCTGCTGGTGTGGGTGGGAGTCCTCCTGGATGCTTCTTCGTTTCTCTTCGGAGGGTTCTCGGTGGGCTCCTGTGTAGCAGTCTTAAAGGGCTCTTGGGGGCCCTTGGGGGGCGCATTGGGTGCCTTCTGGGGCTCTCTTGGCGCCTCTTGGGGGCCTCTTGGACCCTCTTTCGGGACTCTTGGGGGCCGCTTGGGGCAGCCTGGACGCCTCTTGGGGCCGAGGGCTCGAAATGCCCGTTCGGCTTCCTCCTTCTGGGCCCCCTCTTATGGCCGTCCTGGGGCTCTTTGTCCGTCTTAGAGGCCTCTGGGGCCGTCTTGGATCCCTCTTGGGCCGTGGTGCGGTTCTCTTGGAGGCCTTACACCGTCTTGGAGCGACCTGAAGGGCTTCTTGGGCCGTCGTAGAGCTTCGGCGGCCGAAAAGGTGAGAACGTTGAAAACCAGCAGTAACCAAATGAAAATCGTTGAATTTTGCTTCGGGGCTTCTTGGGAGTGGTAATTATTGGAGGCGTCTTCGGGCGTCTTGGAGGCGGCTGAAGCCGTCTGGAGGCTATCTTGGGCATCCTGGAACGACCTCCGGCGTCTCTGGGCCCTCTTAGACCGCCTTGGGGGCCTCTTGTGACGCGCCCCCGTTGTTCCGGCATCCGTGACGGGGACCGCCCGTCTGGGGCGGAAAAGAGGGGGGTGATGACTAGGGGGGGTGGATATCATGGCGTGGGCCATGATATTTCCCCAGATTTCATGGCGCCTCTTCTTATTTCATTACGTCCCTGGACCCCCCGCTGGGCCGCACACATGCCGCCGGTCATGATTTGCACCCCCCCCCTCTTGGACACCCCCCTCTTAGCCGCTCCCGAGCCCGGGGACCCCCCCAGGGGTACTTTGCGCACAGGGGCCCCCATGGGGCAGCCACGCGCGCGCGCGAACTAGAAGTACTCTAAAGCTGTTACTGGAGATGTTGGTGGCCCGTTGGGCTGGCGAATTTTATTCAAGTTTTCGAGACCCTGGGTTATTTCCATCAGGTGCACCTCGTCGAGAGCGTTGCGGGGGTGCCAGAGTTGTCCTGAACGGCTGCCGTTGAGCCGAGTGGTGGCCCGACAGCCGAGACCAGTCAACGTAGGGGGGGGTTCTGCTCAAGGGGGGAGGCATCGGCTCCTAATCCCCCATTGATTGGCGATCAGGACCGCACGGCCCACCTTGCCCAGCAACGTGCGGATCCACTATCGGGGGCTTAGCGCCGATCTATCGGCTCTTTATCGTCGATTCCAGCTCGATGTTTCCCCCCTTGAGCCGATCCCCCCTAATGTCCCCCCCCCACCTTCTCACAGAAAGTCCCCAAACGGTGCGGAGCCGGAACCGAGTCAGGGGGGATTCCGGGTGATCGCACGGTTTCGGGGCTTGGTTGATCTCTGGGGGTGTTTCGGGCGACCAGGGCCTCCAGGGTCCCGAAACCGTGCACCGACGAATCCTGCGGTGGGGTATGTCGGGCTTTCGAGTTGACTGCACGGTCTGTCACCGCACCGTTTCGGAAACGTCAACTCAGTTGGGGACCCCGCACCCTTCATCCCTCTTCAGCCGTCCTGGGGCCCCATTGGAGGCCTCTTGGGCCGCATTGGGGTGACATTGGGGGCCTCTTGGGTCGTCTTGGAAATCCCGAACAAATGAGGATGATATACTGATAGGAAATTTCTGTCTTGCCTCGCGGGTTTCCTCTTCGGGTCTTCGTGGGACGTTTTTGGGGTCTTTTCGGCCACCTCGAGCCCGTCTTCACCTTCTAGGCTGCCTCTTGCCTCCGACCATCATGCGCAATGCAAGTCAGCGAATGCGTACACGCTGCCGCCTCCTTGGCGCCTCGTGGGCGCCCTCGTGCACCGGGTGGGCTCCCCGAGGCTGCGCCACGCTACCGCGCGGTGCCGCCGCTTGGGACGCCCCTTGGGTGCTCCGCGCGCGGGGGGGGGGGTTCTCGAGGCTGCGCCACGTTACCGCCCGTACCGCCTCGTGGGCGCCCCGTGGACGCCACGTGCTCTGAGTTTGCACGACGTGGCGTTCAACACATAGCTTTCACAGCACACTGCTGACACCGCACAGCTTGCACCGCACAGCCTACACAACATAGCTTAAACAACATAGCTTGCATCCCGCGGCGTTCAACTCCGGTCCACACCAAATAGCTCACACGACACAGCTTGCACCGCAAAGTTACCACCTCCATCGCGCACACGCCGCATAGCCTACATGACAAATATATGCTATCGTGTAGCACCTTCACGGTGCAACAACGCCCTGTTTGGAGTCCATCTTGGCTAAGATTGCAAACATAAGACGAGTACCAGACTTAAGACATTACTCTGGCTTGTGTAAACACGACCGCGCAGTTTTCATTACACGCACACGTCAGTTGATAACACACAAACTTAGCATATCAATTCGGGGCAGGTGTTCCTAAATGGAAGTCCTCGCGCTACCACGAACTGATGTTTGTTGACCATTTGGAAACGTTGTTGGCCCGTCTTGCTGTTATGTGGCCTCAAGGAAGGTAATGCGAAAAGGCCCCAGATCGCCCAATAGCGCCCGTCATACAGGGCTGTGCGCTCCTGAGTGACCGAAGAGAAGGGATCGAAGAGACCCAAGGGCACTCCATGTCGGGCTTCGCGGCACGGTGGCGACTTATTAGAGCCGCATGTTTGATTGATCTCGATTGGAGTTACGAGCACAATGGAGTCGCACAGCGGCCTCAACTCAGATCAACTCCTACTGGGGCCTCAACGCTAAGATATCTCTCGTGCATCTGCAACTCCATGAGGTCCCTACCGGAGTTGGTCGTAGTCCTGCCATGGCCAAGGGCCCCCTGACGTCCTGATTCCGTTGCACTGGAAGTACAGGCCCGACATGATCCCATTGGTGGAGCTGCCTGCAGGATGTGCCTCTCCTGGGGGCACCCTGGCCGCACCTCCTCGGAGTGCACCGCACGTGCCCCCGCACCGCGCAGAGCACAGCCCACGGCCCCGGGCTCGCCCAGAGCCCGCCCTCCGCCCCGCCCTGCTGCCCGTGTCCGCTGCTCCTCCCCCCCCTGCCGGCCGAAGGGCTGGCGGCGAAGGAGCGCCAAGGCGGACCCTGGTGCTCGGGAGGACGGGGGGCGGGGGGGGGGCGAGAGCGCGGCCCTCCTCACAGGGGTGCGGGGGGCCGCCGCCTGCGCACGGCCGCGGCGCACGCAGGCCAGCACCGAGGCCGCCCACGCCTGCTCCCGCCGCCGCCCCCCCCCCCTCTCCCGCGCCCCCCCCCGCCCCGCCCGGCCCTCCCCCCCCGCCCTGCCCCCCCCCCCTCGGGGCGCGCGACCGCCGCGCCGGCCGCCGCCTGCCTCCCCTGCCTGCCACCCGCTGCCTGCTCCGCTCTCCGCCGCGGTGCCCCTCCCCGCCGCTGTCGATCGTCCTCGGCGTCGATCGTTGGGATCGCGGCTCGTTGCCGCTGTGGCCGTTGGTCGTTGTTATCCTTGATGTCGTTATCGTTATCGTTGCGCCCGCTCCGCCCCGCCGCTCCCCCAGAGCACGGCGCGAGGGGGGTGGGGCAGGGGAGGTGCGCCAGAGCAGCGCCGCGCTCCGGTCGCCCCCGCCCCCACCGCCCGCCCCGTCGATCGTGCATCCGCCAGCGCCGGGGAGGAGGAGGAGGAGGAGGAGGAGGAGGAGGAGGAGGAGGAGGAGGAGGAGGAGGAGGAGGAGGAGGGGCGGGGCGGGGAGGCATTTCCAGCTCCGTCGCTGCTGCAGCCCAGGTCCGAGGGCCCCAGACTCGGCGGCGAGCCTGGGGGGGGGGGAGTGAGAAGGAGCAGGCCTTCTCAGAAGGCGGAGAGGCTCCCCAGAAGCCCTCAGAAGCCCTCCGACCTTCTGGGAAGTGTTTCCCATCATCGGGGCAGGCTTGGGGCATGGAAAACTTCTCAGAAGGCCGCCCCGTCCCTTCTCCTCCTCCTCCTCCTCCTCCTCCTCCTCCTCCTCCTCCTGGGACTCCTCCCCCTCCCCCTCCTGGGACTCCCCCTCTCGCTTCCCCCCCAGGCTCCCCGCCCACGGACCTGCGCAGCCTCGAGAGCTCAAACGGTGGAGGTGTTCCGCTCGCCGTGCTCTCGGCGTCCGGGGGCCCCTTCTGGGCCCTGAGGTTCAGTCGGGCCGGTACCCCTACAGGGGGAATGTTCAAACATGGCCAAAAAATCGTATGGGAACGATTTTGTTTAATTTTTGTTTGTTCCCTTGAGGGTGTATGTTTGACAACTTTCTATTTTCGTCCAAAATCCGCCTGTAGGGGGACAGGCCGGCTTAACCCTAAGACGGCCGAGCCCTCCGGGCTGAGAAACCAGACCTCTGGAATGAGTCGGGACTTCGTGAGGGTGTCGCTAGGATCGGGACCATCGAAGTTCGGCGACGAGCGAGGGGGGAGGTGAGAAGGAGAGGGGCCTTCCCAGAAGGCGGCGGGGCTGCTCAGAAGCTCTCCGGCTTCCTGAGAAGCTTCCTGCGTCTTCGGGGACGCCTCAGGATGCTTTTTCAGAAGGCCAGAGGATTTCCGAGCCTTCTGAGAAGGCCCGCCCCTTCTCACTTCCCCCCGAGGCGCGCCACCGAACAACGGGTACGGAATGATTGGGCTTCAACGACTGGCAGAGTTTCCTGCTCATCTTGAATAGGATTCGCTCTCGGCCCTGCGGCGGCCGAACCGTCTCCGGCTGAGAAGCCAGAGCTCTTCGGTCACGCGCAGGGGTGGGTAGGGGGAGGGGGAAGGCTTCTTAGAACTCTACTTCTTAGAAGGCACGGACCTTGTCTCGATATTAGGCCGGAGCCTTCTAAGAATCAGTCTCCTTTCAAGAAGCCTTCCTCGCTCCCCGTACCCTTTCCCTTTGTGCGCGCCGCCAACCTCTGGAATGAGTCGGGATTTCTTGTCGGGTCTCGCTAGAAGTGCCGCTGGCCCAAGGTGCCCCCCCCCCCCCCCCTCAGGATTTCCAAGGAGGCCCCCACGGCCTCCAGAGCGCCTCACGAGGCCCAGAGGGCCCCAGGGGCTCCTAGATTGACTGATAAGCTGGGGGCACCTTGGGCCAAGGGGCACCTTTAGCAACCTCCGATCCTTGGACCGCGCAGTGGAACATTTTTTGGTCCGCGGACGCAGGCGAGCAGGCGTCGGTCGAGCAAACCGCGGGGCGCCACCGAAGCGAACTGAGGCACGAAGGCGCGGAAAAGGAGGCTGGTCTTGTGGGAGATGTCTCAGGCCAGGCCGGTGGGGACGCCCTCACTTGTCCTCTTCTCTTACCTCTTTGTGCGTGACCCTCACGCGTCTCTGTGGAGGGCCCTGCGGCCAAGTGCCCTGTGCAGGCGCCTTTCCACAGGGGGTGGGGTATATGCTGACCTGGCCGTCTTGCTCGTTCATCCCTCTCACAGGTCTGAGCATGTAATTCGTTATGGGCGTGCCGGAGTCGGGCGGCCATGTGGAGCCCACGCAGAGGAAGTAGGTGGAGACCTTGCAGCTTCGTCGTGGAACAACGCGAGCCAACACGAACATAGCGAAGATCGGGGGAATCGTGCAACGGTGTGGTCCTACAGCGAATGCAATGGAGTGGTGCAGACTACTGGGTACCTGCTTCCTGCTCGGGAGTTCGTAGCGCAGACATCTCGATAGACGAGCGCAGATTTGTGGGACAGGTCTCGGGCAAATCAACAACAGTTGTGTTAACGTAGTATAGAAGTTGCAATATCGCGTATGGAAAGTTATGGATGTTGTGGATGCTGCGGCTGATGTGTTCGACCGTTTGCCCAACACATACTTTGTTTTGCAGGTGTTGGCGCATATGAGTGTAGCACGTGTTGACTTGTAGTGTTCACGGCTTCCTCCTGTGAGTTTCTCTTCTCCCGGGTTCAGTTTTATGATTGACAAGTTTCTGTTGTCTTCGCAACAGTGGATCACGCGTGGTTTTGTTGGATCGTGTAGTTTACAACGTGGTTATCTCTCTTTTTGTTTCTCTCTCTCCCTCTCTCCTTCTCTCTCCCTCTCTACATCTCCGTATGCACACATATGGGACATCGGGATGGCCATTCGGGCGTCGAATCTTTAAACGTGCCATCTTGGGCCCAACGCACGGCGAAGACGTTGATGTTTGCAAGGCCATCCGTCTCGTGCTTACAGCAGCGGTCGGTAGACATCGGGCCATCCCGGGAGACCTGGCGGGCATGTGGAGGGCTGAGGGCGGGAAGAGAAGGGGGAGGATGTTGGACTTGTGTTGTTCCTCCACAGTTTTGGGGGGCAATTCTTCAATGGGCGCCTCCAATACGCGGCCTGTCCGAGCTATGTGATTGCACTGGGTCTCGGAGTGTGGTCGGGTGACATGTGCTCTGCACTCTCTTGAGCCTTTGGGGCTTAGTGGGCCCTGGAAACGACGGGGCCGTTTTTTTACTGGTTCCGTTTTGCCGTTTTTTTACCGGTTCCGACGCCGTTTTTTTACCAGTTCCGTCGCCGTTGTTTGACCGGTTCCGGCTCCGGTTCCAATCTTGGAGCCGTTTTTTAGCCGTTTCCGGTCGCCGTTTTTTTGCCGTTTCCTCTTTCAAGGGACCTTTTTTTTGAAACGGTGAAAAGACGGCCCTGCCGTTTCCGGGGCCCACAAAGCTCTTACAAACTACCAAAAACCATCTGAACCTCATCACGCCGGGCGCTCGGCCCCTGTGGCAAGCCAACAGAGGGCTGCGGATGACGGAAAGAGCGAGGTACGAGCGGGAGACGTTTCGCAGGGGGCGAAGCCCTTCTAAGGATGGGGGTCTGGGGGAGGGGGCTAGCGGGGGAACAAAAGTCTAGTTGCCCTCGCGCCTCGTACTGCTACCCTGCAGACGACGACGACGAATACGAGGAGGAGGAGGAGGAGGAGGAGGAGGAGGAGGAGGAGGGGGACTAAGGTGGAAGGGAGCAGGAGAAGGCGAGGGAGATGTTCCCCATGTGGGCCGAGGGAGTCGTAGCAGAGACAGACAGGAGCCTGGTTGCCGGCGGCCCTTCCCGCCACCGTGCGGGTTGTGGTTGAAAGGCCTCTTGGATGTTTTCGGGCCTGTTGGGGCCAATGTTGGGCCTCTTGGGGGTGTCTTGGGGGCCTCTTCGGGCCCCTTGAAGGGCTCTTGGGGCCTTCCGGGGGCGTCTTGGGGCGGAAAGCTTGAAATGTCGGTTCGTGGTCCTCTTCTCGGGCCCTCTTGGTGCATTTTTGGGCTGTCTTGAGGCTCTCTTGGGCCGTCTTGGCGCCCTCTTGGGCTGGCTCGGGGCCTTCTTGGGGGCCTCTTGGGCACTCTTGGACCTTCTTCGGGGCCTCTTAGGGTACTCTTGTCGCGTCTTGGCGCTTTTTTGGGGCTCCGGGACGCCCAGGGGCGGATGCGTCTCTGACCCCCCCCCTCCGGGACCCCCCCGTCCGCTACGACGGACGTTGCTACGATTTTCGCTGGCAGGCTTGAAGAGGAGAGTACAGGGGCGACGGAGACGCAGGGAAAAGGGAAAACGGATGCGTCGACTGAGCGCACGCCGACAGGGTGTCCACACGCCGACAGGGTCGGCTGATTTTTTCGAGTGAAGCGGCTCCGGGTCGGCTCCCATGGCCTGTTTCTTAGTATTTTTTCTGGTGAGCCGGCCAGAGGGAGCCTAGACGGCCCAAGAGTGCCCCATAATGGATTCAGAGAGCCCCAAGACGGCCCCAAGAGAGTTTCAGATGGCCTCCAGACGGTCCAAGAGAGTCTCGAGACGGCTCGAGAGGCCCTCAAGAGGGTCCCCGAGAGGGCCTCAGGAGGCCAACACAATGATTTCCGTATGTTTTTTTTTCTGGGTTTTCGGGTTCCCCCTTTTCGGTCCAATAGGGGCCCCAGAAGG